TTCACTCAGAATCTAGCACTGTGATCTTAGGCTAGTCACACACCTGGAGTAGCTTATTCCAGCTTTTGAAATTCCATAACTTAATCATAGTTGATGTGAAACAAGGATTAATAGAAACCATGACTACCCATGTGACCATGACTTAAACTTATATATATATATATATATTCTCTCTCTCTCTCTCTCTCTCTTATATCTCTTATACTCCCACTGTAAGGAAGAGATCAAACAGCAGAACATGTAAACAAAGTAATGCACAGAAAGTAATACTGAAAGAATCCAAGTAATTAGAGGTTGAAATACTTGCAAATGCATTTTGCTTGTAAAGCAGATCTGACTGAAAATGCAACTGAGAATGAATAAGGTACATGTGTGGGGGTGGGGTATATGGGAGCTTTATACTTTGCTAATTTTGTTATAAAGTTAAAATTTCTTAATAACAAGGTGTGAGCGGTAGTTTGACTCAGATTCACGTGTAAACCTCTCTTCACCATTAGTGTAACACCTGTTGGGTATAAAATCTCCAAATTGTACCATCAACACAGTTGTGTGTGGAACATTAATCTATGTATAAACAATTATATACATAACCATACCAATTTTCCCAAACCAAACCAGAAAATTTCCCCAAACAGGGTTTAAGTGTAGTTCCATTCTCAAAAGGACCACTTAGAAAGTGTCACTTTCTCAACTGATTTAAACAGGTTTTTTCTCATGTGATCCCATCTGAATTTCACAGTAGGCACTGGCAATATGATACTCTTTAAGAAAATTGGGAATCTTAAGGATACCTTTTAACCACAGGCCTTGCTACCTCTGGTCAGAGTAACTTAAAAACAGCTGCTATTCCAGGCCAACTTGGGGAATAAGGGATGCTGGTAGTGTCACCCTGCTGATATGAGGAATTACGATAGGCCGTCTCATGGCACATAAAACTTCCTTTTCCTATTGTGGCATCTTAGCTGTAGATACAGAACTGTTAGGTAGCTTCCATGATGAAGGGTGGCTTAAAATAATTGGGAAGTAATTACGTAAGACAAGGAAAACAGCAAGTCTGGAAGCTAGGAAACAAAAATATTGGTAATATGCTGCATACATGAGTTTATAAAAGCTTAGAATAATATGTTAATAGTAATAAGTTGTAATAGAATGATAGTAACAAATTAGAAACATTGCTAAGGAATTCAGTGGCTGAAGTGATAATGGAAGAACTGGAAGCATCCCCAATGATTAAGAGGTCTGGACACCGAGATACCTGAAAGGTAGAGGCTGAAGAGGCGAAAAAAAAAAGTGATTAACAAATTCACAGGGTAATCTTTTAAAGCTTAAGAAAAACCTCTAGCCAGAATTTAGGAAAGTAGATGATAGAAAATCATGAGGGTTTTCAAGGGGAGCCAGAATGTGTCTTTTTCTGAGAATATATGAAAAGGTATTCAACCTTATTAGTCACCTGGGAAATGGAAAACCCATGGAATACTATACACATACCTCTCAGAATGGCTGAAGTATTAAGTAAGACTAACTGTACTTGGCAAGCATGCAAAGCAACCACCACTGGGGAGTGTAAATTGAAAATATTCATATTATCTGCTAAAGCTGGACATTCACAAATCCAAATGAGTCAGATTCTCCTCTCAGTTATGTACCAATAGAAATGCCTGCCACATACCAGGAGGATCAAAATAGCCTTGCCATTTTCTTGTAGCTCCAGAGTGACAATCATCCAAATATCCATCAATGATAGAATGCTGAAGCTGTACTGTTTTCCCACAGAAAGTAATTTTTTAGCAGAGCACAGTAAGAAATTAAAATCAGCATAATAAATTCAATCAGCAAGATCAGGAAAGATGAATGGAAAAGGGAAACAGGAATTTGCACCTATGAAGAAACAAGTGGAAATGCTAGTGTAAGAAATACAAATCTTTTTGAAGAATTCAATGGATAATTTAATTTTAAAAAGTTAAGATCAAATTGAGGAACTCCCAGGTTATCAGGGAGAAAAAGATGGGCAGAATGAGAGATGTGTTGAGGGTAGAAATAAAACTTCCAGAAATAAGAGTAACCAGAAGGGGAAAATATTTAAAGAAATAACATTATTTAGTGTCCAGAATGTGGAAGAGATTAAAATACCTTTTAATCTCGTCTTGATAAACTATAACAAACACCTTTCAAAATCATACTGCTGAGTTTGTAAGAAAGGAAATGTCATAGAGTCTCCAAATCAGACGAAACTTGAGTTGAAACTAGTGGGCTTGTGTAGATGGGATTGCCAATTTCAAAAGGACTGACTTTTGACAGCCTGAAAGTGACAAGATACCAGGATTTAGGTACACAGAACTTGGAACTAAGAATTACACACAAAACTGGGACCGCTGAAGAGAGACACTTTCAGTGAATGAGCAAACCCGAACAAGGATAATAGTCTGTCCTAGGGCAAAAAGCCTCCCTTGAAGATTTACAATGAGTTTGCCCTCACACTGATCTAAAGTTCAAATTTATAGCTGTTGGTCATGGAAACCATAGTTTGAGAAATTAATATAAAAATAGTACCTAGCCACTGATACTCTTGGAGCAAGGCAGAAGCAAAACTGATCTGCAAGGACCCATCCTCAACCTAGGTGGGTGGCACATGACTCCTAAATCTAGTTAAGGTCCCATTTAGGGCTCATACACTAAAATCTGTAAAATAAGGAAAAATAGAACAGCAGTATTAAATTTCAAAACATCAAAGATAATAGACTATAAAATAAGTATATTTTAAAAGATTAAATAAAGAACTTGTCTATGCTTCTTTGTGTCATAAGCCCCACAAACTAATTGATAAATTTATAGGGTCATAAGAGACAAAGGCTTTTATTATGTATGATCCAAGTATCAGATGTGGAAACCCCAGTTTAGGAATCTCAAAGAAATTACAGGTTTGAAAAGAAGAATCATGAGCAGGAAGCGTCATACATAGTTTATAGCAATGCTATTTAAAAAGAAAAAAGCACACTGAAGGTTTAGATTATTAGCTTTACGTCCAGCAGTTTAAAAGGTAACTGATATTCTGTAAACACTTTTTACTAAAACAAACAGATTAAAATCCAAGTTAGAGGACTAGTTAGTTCATTTCTATCAAAGATACAGTTCAGTGGCTAACAGCAATGACTCACTGCTTAGCAGGTGCAGCAACCTGCAGATTGTCACCAATCTGAGGGCAGTGACCTGACAACAAAAACAAGGCATGTTTCCAAAAAGGAATTGTTATAAGTTAAATATAGAAGTTTCTTCCTTGGTAATATAAAATTGTCTTTTTGGCACCATTAACATTGTTTCACATGTAATTTATGTAATTCTACACATTTTGATTATTCAAAATTGGCAGTTAATTCACACTTTTTAATAATTTGTGTAGGAGTAAATATTTTAATATTACGTGTTCTCCCAAGGGTTAATGTGTTCCTCTTCCCTCTAAAAATGGATTAACTTAATAACTTGTCAAATAACAGCAACTGATTTATGAATTGAAAATAGCGACCAGCTCAACTCCAAAGCTTATGCTTTTAAACAATATTCAACATCTTTTATTTACATATTTATGACATACATTAAATGGCCTTATACAGTTAACTAAATCTAATAACAATGATAAGGATGGAACATAAGACACAATTCCAAATTTTAGTAAGGTTGAATAGTTTCACTAACTGAAAAATACGATAAACAAGCAGCCATTATAAAGTTATAGACTGTATGTCAATTCACTTAAAATTAAGTCAGCAACACAGCTATTGAAACAATGGGAAATTTACAAAATGCAAATATGATATATGCAGGTATAATGCATGCATGGCATCATTTATCGTTTCTCTTTGAAGCCATTTTTTTAAAGTAAACGAATAAAGATCTTAATATATGTACATCAAGGCACATTCTTTTTTTTTGTGCTTTTGGAATGATTTACATGTGATTTGCTTTTATCTTAATTTTATACTTTATATTAGCTCCTAATACTTAAAAAGTTTAATTTTAACAATTATAGCTTGAGTGGTAGCTTCCAGAGGAGAGAAATGTGGCACCTCCCCACCATTATTTTGGAAATCGGAAAATTGGATAGCTTAAAAAGGTGGGAATTGAAAAATCAAACACACAAATTAATATAATTCTCAGGTAACTTTTTAAAATAATTTACTTTCAACAATTTGGTGGACCATAATCAATCAATTTCAGTAGTATACTATAGTGAGGGCTGAATTGAAGATTTTCAATATCCTCAAATTACTTGACAATTATATAGTATCCACAGGACCACCACAGGTGTCCATATTGCTATCCTATTTCTAAACTGCAGTTTTCCAACAAATTAAATTAAACATGATATAAAAACTACAAACATACCAAACCTAGTTTTAAGTTGTCATTCTTCAGCAAAGAATGAGATTCTTTTTATCATTCATAGTCCCATATTATCAAGGAGAAATTTCCCCTCAACAGTGTTTAGTAACTCTTATTTGCTCATGGTCAATTGTTTTGCCTTGAAGAGATAATATAGTAAGGCTTTAATAGGCATTTCATGCATTTTCATGGCATTTTAAAAATCAGCTATTCTTTTAAGGGTTCCCCATAGAGGTAAGCATACTGTGCAAACTTGATTACAACATGTAACTCAGTAAGTGCTTTAAAACAAAGAATCCCTGACTTATAAGGAGTTAAAATAAATACTTAAGTCAAGAATCACAGATTTGAAGCATTTAAAAAAATGTAATATATTTATACATCTTACTAAAATGCTTTATATTAGAATTTTTTAAATCCATAAACAGTACAAAAGAAATCACAGAACCTCTATATTTTGAGAATAAAAGAAGAAAAGATAACTGATACAGCCTTTTAAACTCAAAGTATATAATGTCAAAATGCAAACAAAACTGTACAGTTTTAATTTAGTACAGTCCTTTATAAACATTTAATTCATAAAAGTATTCCATAATAAACCACTGCCATCAAATAAAATTTGTTTTCAATGTTTTCTTTACAGTTAATGGACTTTTCTCCAGAACCTATTAGCCAGACAAACCGTTTAGAAATGTTGAAACATCACCAAACAGCCCAGAGCCTTGATATACGAACTCTGGGCAAATAGTCACACAGTATCGTAAACAAATACTCTGAGTTCCGTATCCACAAGATGTCACTTCTCATTTCCATTACTATCATTCAGCTTCTGAAATATGTGCCACTTCTACTTCAACAGTTTGAATAGCTTCTGCAACTTCAGATAGCTTCTGTCCTTGCTGTTGTGCCAATACATAATTAACTACTTGCATAATACTTTGGTCAGAAAGCGTAGATACCGATGGACACTCTTCAGTAGCTGCAACTGCTTCAAGAGCTTCCATAGTTTCTCCTGTTACTACAACAGTCTCAAGTTCTTGCGGACCACTGCTTTCTTGTTCCTGCATATCTGCTGTTAAGATGCTAACAGCATGCTCCACTTGAGTTCCCTGGTTATGAAACTGAAGGGTATCTTTTTCCAGCATAATTTTGCAAGGCACATAATCTCTGTGGAATTTAGTCATATGTTTACGGAGTGTCCGAGCATCTATGTAGGCTTCACTACATACAGGACATACATAAGGCCGTTCGCCAGTATGTGTTCTGACATGGCGTTTTAAAGATCGGGCATCAGCCCAAGCTACTCCACATGTTAAGCACTCGAATGGCTTAACTCCTATTAAAAAAAAAGAGAAAGAAAGATGTGTGTGTGTGGTGATGTGCAAGTATCAAATATATTAAAGCTGATAATAAGCATTTCAATCTTTACTATGATAATCTTTTACGTAAGGTTACCTTAGACTAAACCACATTCTGCACTGTAATAATCTCCCTAAAGATGGTCCCATGGATAAAAGTTACTGAGAAAAAGTTTTAAGTTTCCATGTATAGTCTAATTTAACAGCAATCTTACAATCCTAGGAATAAGGAGACAGAGGCTTCAAGAAGTCCATTTCAGCATAAAAATATTGACATAGGATATTAAGTTCACTAAAAAAGGAATCTATCTGTATATACAACAAGTAAGTACCAGGGTTCAGGATCACTTCTATCACTTGAATAAATTTTCCATGATATGAAATTAATCTCTTAACAAGGAAGAAGTAAAAAGCAAGAGAACTAGTAAAGGAGAATCACTATTGCATTAGCTTTTATTCTATTTAGATCTCTCTAGAATGTTGATAGTTACCTCCATGGTTGTTCATGTGTCTCCTATACTCTCTCAGCTGAGTGAATTTTCTTCCACATTGCTCACACACTCGTTCCAGGTTTTGCTTTGCTCTTCCCTTTTTCCCATGGGTAGCTTTCTTTACATGCCTTCTGAACAATGCTTTTTCATAAAATTCTTTGCCACATATATTACACCTAAAATATGGGGGAAACCTAAATTATTTTCCTCTTAGCACCAGCATCTGTAAGAATTAATCCATGTGTGTATATGTATGTGTGTGTGCGTGTGTATCTCAATTAAGTTCATATCCTCCTCATATTTACCCACCTGTAAGGCTCAGTAACAGAATGAGACTTCACATGGGAATACCAATCTTTCTTCCAACTATAACACTTATCACAAAATTGGCACTGGAAAGGCTTCACACCAAGATGTTTGTTCATGTGCTGGCGAAGATCTCTAGCTTCAAAGAAACTTTTTTCACATCTGCAATAATAAAGTTCAATCACCTAACTGGATCATCTTACTCTTTTTTTTTAAAACAAGTTTCCAAGAGTTTGGTATATTCTTGGGTTTCTAGAACTCCATAAGATGATCCCACTTTAAAAGAACTTGTTAGTGCTTTGATCTTGAAATAAGGCTGCAGGGTTTTAAATTCTTTTAGCTCTCAAGCACCAGAAATATTTCAGAAAGAATCATGCAGAGTTCCCGAAGGTTATTACAGAGGCCCCTTATTTTCTGTCTCTCCACCCTTTTAAGAGACAGGCCCCCCAATATGATCCCCTTTTTCACTCTCCCATTCTGTCCATGCATTGAGAGTAGGCCTCACCCTTGACAATAGGGTGGAGAAGCTGACTCAGGCCAAGTCAATCAAAGCACAGCATTCCTTGGGATTGATTCCAATTGCTTGATTCAAGGATGACTTGACTTAACCAGATCCAATGAGAGCAAATCCCAGGGCTTTTATATAAACTATCAGAAAAGCCGCTTGACAATTTGGGGGTTGAGAGAATGTGAGGCTGAAACCATTGTTATTACCTTGTCCATATGGAGCCTCAGAGACACCAAGTATTAATGAATCTCAATCTACTTTACATTAAACCTTCAGACTCCTAGACTTTTCCTTCCATTCAGGCTAGGTTAGGTTTGCTTTTCTTTCACTTGCAACTAAAAATGCAATGATAATAAACTATCTTTGTTTCCTCCACAAAAGCAAACTGCCCAAAACTGTCAGATTTAATTTCACTGGAACTCTGGAAACAAAAGTGTACAGTGACCAGGAAAACCCTTAATCAAGAAAAAAAATTGTTGAATCTTGGTAAGAGCTTTGTGGTATTTGAACTTATGATGGCCCCATCCCCATCGTCAGCTCAGCAGCAGCCATGAAGACAAGACCCCATTCCTGCTGTGGGTTCCTACAGCCAGGGAGACTGATTCTCAAAGAACAGTGGTTGGTTGTTTTGACCTGTCTGGGAACTCCCTGAAGGATCCCCTCAAGGACTTGCCTTTATTTTACCTAGCTCTCCCAGGGCTGAGGACTGGGGAGAGGAGGAGTTTGTTGATTGTTGAAAACGCTTAAAGGCAAATATATTAGCCACTGCTGCCTGGGGGAAGGGATACTGGTTTGGTACAAACAATAAACAAACCAAAATCTTGGGAAGAAAGGCTGGGGAATAAGATGCCTTGGGGAAAAGGGGCTTTGAAAAACTCCCACATATTCCCAGGAATTGATTAGTCCACACACTTGCCTAGGACTGGGCACAGACTCAGATTAGACCTGAGAAAGACCTGAGCTCATCTCTGGCTGACTCAGTACCAACAGGAGAAGCCAAGACAATTTTACCAGCTGCCTGTTAGTGCTGAAAGCATTCTGGAATTAGACAATGGTGATGCTCGGTACCAAGAGCCACTGAATTTCACTTTGAAATTATAAATTTTAGGTTATGTGAATTTTACCTCAATTATAAAAAAGATTTCAGGAGGCTTTGAAAAATGAAGAGGGAGAAAAGAAAAGGAGTTTGAAGGAAGTAGAGACAGAAAGGGCCCAGCACTTCAGAAGAACTGCCTAAAAAGAAACTGACTAGCACCAGGGAGGGGCCCTTATTCCCTATAATCTGCATTTCCAGGTAGAACACTTGAAGAACCTCTTCTGGGTATTTTAAATGAGTGATTTGTATGGTATGTGATATCTAAATAAAACTTTTTAAAAAATCATAAATAAACAGCAACATCTATGGAAAACAGAAAAACAGACTGATTAAAACCAAGAGTAAACAAGTAATAGTTTAATATTATGTTCAAATATTTTTTTTTCAGTTTTATTGAGGTATACTTGACAAAGTTGTAAGATATTTAAAGTGTACTTTGTGATGATTTGATACATGTATACAATGTGAAAGAACTCCCATCTAATAGACATTACCTTGATACATATTTATGTTAGTAAGTAAACTGATATATATATAAATAAAATATATATGAACACTTAAGTTCTACTCTTAGCAAATTTAATTATATAACATAGTGTTACCAACTATAGTCACTACAAGTATTTTCTTTTGAAAACAAGTTTCAAACAAACCAAACAAGACCTTAAGAAAATTTGTTGATTAGTTCACCTATTAAATACTTACTGAGTACAATGATAGCCTCGAACCTCAGGCTTTGGTTGATGTTTCTTCAGGTGCTTGCTGAGTCCAGAGCCCCTGTGAAAAGACTTTCCACAAACTGAGCAAAGGTACTTGGACTCTCCTATTAAACAACAAAAAATATGTCACAAATCCAGGATCAGGTAAACAGAATGCTTTGTCGTATTTCAGAAGCTACTCTATCAAAGGAGTATGTAAGCTCTAATATTTGGCAGCCACTTTCTAAGAGTATAAAAATCCCTGTTTTTAGCCCAGATCACTAATAGCCAAAATCACTATTTCCTCTCAACTACAGTTGTGGCAAGGCTAGCTACTGCTACCCAAAGAATGTGCATGATAATCTGAATTGTAATAACACGGTTGAACATAAGTTTTAGAGCCATGTCTACCCTTCATCGGCCATTTCCACAAACTGTTTACATATGTGAAAATAAATATATGTGGACTAAATATTCTAATAAAATTACAAGCCACATACTATGTTGAGAGTTACCTCTACCTATTGCTTGACTTCTTAAAAGTATGACCATTTCTTTAGGGGCCTGGATCTAAATTACACATGATTTAATACTCAGTACACATTTTTTTTTTAACAGAGGGAAACAATGAATATTTTTATGCAAATAAGAACTCTAAGTTAGCTTTGAAAATACCTTTTAACTTAACCTTTTTAAATAAAAAAAATGCATACATACCTCCATCAGTATATCAATATAATTTCTAAAATTATAGCATAACCAATATAAAAAATAGTATGTAATATGTAATTATGTTAATGCAAATTACTTGTTACCTGTGTGAATACTCATATGTTCTTGAAGACTCCGTTTGGTAACAAATGACTTAACACATAGTTCACACTGGAATTGCTTTTGTGATTGATGGAGACTTTGGTGTAATTTTAGACCATGCTTGTAGATGAAAGTCTTTCCACAGACCTAAGATAGCACAGGTGTTTTAACCAGTAAAACAGATAACTAAATAGGGGCTGTTTCTGCAGAACAAGGACAGAAAAACTAGTATGCCATTTTAAATAAAAAATTTAAATTGTAAACAAAATGACAAAAGTTGAAACATATCAGCTAATATTAGCTAGCTGACCATCTTCTGATTCAGTTCTTAAATATTGCTATTTTTCTTATATTTATACAATCACTGGAGGATCTAAAAGCAGTACAACAAGATCTGATGATGTCTTTGTGATTTTTGTTAACAGTACACCTTATATTAAAAGATAGTTTAGTGAAGAAAAGATACTCATTTCCTGCTATACCATCTAGAAGAGGGCTTCTCACACTCTCCGATTAAGAACCAGTCTTTTTTCTTTCTCCAATCCATATTTTGCTAAACACAATAAAAATGTCACAACAGTGACAAACTGCCATGATAGTTTCTAAATGCTTACTATCCACTCTGTATTTATTTCCCATGGACCACACATTTTGAGTAATGCCCTTATACCACAAAACCAGAGGCCCAGTTAATACTTAGTTTTTTATGTGAATAAAATGACACTTAGGGGACAGTAGGACAATGAGTGACAGTATAAATAAAACACAGCTGACCATATGCTGATAACTTCTAAAGTTGGATAAAGGGCACATGGGGCTCTATTTTATTCTATTCTCACATAATAAAAAGAGAGGGAGAGAAAAACATTAAAAATCTCATTGGAAAAAAAAATTTCCTGGATTCCAAACTGTTTATTAATAAAAACAGTGGTTCATGCTTAAATGAAAAGCTACAAATGCTACTAATTTTCAGTATTCCAAAGAGCCCAAAGCTGGCTAATCACAGGATTCTTCAACCAAGACTCAGATTTTGGCACTGAAGTGACCTCAGTCCTCAGCTCTAGAGAAGGACACATAGCTTAGGCAGGACTTTTGCTAAAGAGATGTGTTTAAGCCACACGTTCCTTTCCAGTCCAGGTAGGTCCTATTGAAAATTAAAGGATGACTGGATGATGAATTGGTTACTCTCGCCCAGTATATCCTCTGAATCCTGGTTAAGTTTCTCAAACACCCTAAATAGAGTCATTTCAAATTACAACAAATGAAACAGCAAAGTAAAAAACACAACTGGGAATCACCCTTGAACCAGACCACAAACTGGGTGTCAGAAGCCCTGGTGACACTTTACAAGAGTGAGGGTGACTTCGGAATCAACCAGTCTCATTACAAGTTCCAATCTTCTTTTTATAACAAAATAAACATATGGCTTTACCTGGCATGCATGTGGCTTCACACCTGTATGCTTTAACATATGTATTCGAAGAGAATACAATTTAGGTAATGTCCTTCCACATATAGAACATATAAATTCTCGTTTGGTTCTGCCCTTCTCAGTTGATGTTCCTGATGCCTCATTAGACATGGAATTGGAAGAGGATGAAGTGGGTGCATCCTTTCTGGCATGTCGAATAAGGTGTGCTCTCAAGGAGGCACTGTACTGAAATTGTTTCTTACACAGCTAAAAGAAAAAGTAGACAAAATTCTTTCTAAATTTAATTCTGTTACAAATGTTAAGTAAAACCTGACTATTATTTCAGCTTCACATTTCTTTGTTACAATTACATAAATCAATAAACTAATATAATGTGTATACTATATAACATGCTAGGTACCAGATTATAAAGACCAAAGGCGAAGACCCAGTCCCTATTCTGCAGAGGTTTATAATCTAACCACAGAAGAGGGGAAGTCTCAAGATGGCAGAGTCCGAAGGCAAGGCAGAAACCTACACACACACACACACACACAAAAAAAAAAAATACAACTAGACCTGAAAATTAACTGGAGACTACAAAACACACCATCTACACCTGGGGAAGAAAAGAAGATGACACAGGAAAGGGGAAAGCGGCAGAGCCATGACCAAGTAGGACCCCAGCCCACAGGAGTGCGGAAGAGAAACGAAGTGGTGGGGTTATAGGTACACAGGAACACAGCACACCTGACCCTGGAGATCTGCTCTGGGAACACAAGTCCACATTGCATTACGCTCTGGTAATTAGCAGGACTGGACACTACAGACAGCTGGAACACTAGGAAGCTAAGAAACCAGCTGGCTGTGGAAGACAGGCACACTCTGTTGGTCCCACTGAGACCCAACACAGGGGCAGCAGTTTGAAAGACTTGCCAGCAGTGGGAGGGGAACCAGAGAGGGTAGGGTTGGACAGAGCTATATCAGCAGCAGAAAAGGGCAGGTGGATGATACCTCCCCAGTCCAGCTGGTTGAGCACTCTCAGGAGCCCCAGGTGCTCCATACTCCTCAGTGGTGGAAGCGTCTGTGGAACTCAATGCTGCAGCACAACAAGCTGCCTCCACTGCTTTGCACCCAAGAAGCCTGCAGGCCCTTGCACTGCACCACTCACTGCCATTGTGGAGCACCCAGGGCTCAGCAACAGGGTGAAAGCCTGTGAACCCCGCCATAATGCAACTTGCCCTGCCACTTCACTGTCCACCCTGTTACCCAACAGCCCCACCACCACTGCAAGGCAGGCAGGGGGTGGCCCTGCCCATAATGATCCCAGCAGAAACCACTGCTCTGATTATATAGGTCCAGCTGAGGCAAACCACCAGCCTCAGCAGATGGAGATAAAACCACTGTGAGTAGAAAGACAGAAAAGTGACCCTGCCTGTTGCCCATTAACAGCATCTGGGTATCCACTGCAAAGGAGAACCAGGCATGGGAAAGAAGAGCCCTGAGCTTCTAGGCACCCAGGACACCTTCTTCATAAAGCCATTACTCTCATGATCAGGAAGCACAGCAGATCCATGTAATACAAAGGAAGACTATATAGAAAATACAAGAAAGTATAATACAAAATACACAGAAACCCTGACAAAATGAGGAGGCAGAAGAATATGTTCCAAATAAAACTATAGGATAAGATACCAGAAAGAAGGATAAATGAAATGGAGATCACCAATCTTCACAGTAAAAGTCATAAATATGCTCACTGATCTGCAGAAATGAATTAAAGAACTCAGGGAAGACTTAGAGATATAAGAGTTGAAGAATACAGTAACTGAAATGACACACACAATAGAGGGAATAAATAACAGATTGATGCAAGTAGAGAAGACAGTAAATGAGATGGAAATTAGAGAACAGGAAAACAATGAAGTTGAGGAGCAGAGAGAAAAAAGGATCTCTAGGAATGAATGGTAAAGAGAGCTGTGTGACCAATCCAAATGAAACAATATTTGCATAATAAGGGTACCAGAAGGAGAAGAGAGAAACAAAGGGATAGAAAGTCTCCTTGAGGAAATAATAGTTGAAAACTTCCCCAGTCTCAGAAAGGATAAAGACATTCAGGTCATGGAAGCACAAAGAGCCTCTAACAAAAGGAACCCCAGGAAGATAAAACCAAGACATATAATAATTAAAACGGCTAAGATTAAGGATAAGGAGAGAGTACTGAAAGGACTCAGAGAAAGAGAAAAAATTACTTATAAGGGAAATCCCATCAGGCTATCAGCAGACTCCTCAGCAGAAACTTCACAGGCCAGAAGGGAGCAACATAGAATATTTAATGTACTGAGACAGAAGGACCTTCAACCAAGAATCTTCTACCCAAAAATATTATCATTTAAATTTGGAGCAGGGATTTAACAATCTCCAGACAAACAAAGGCTCAAAGAATTTGTAACAAAACCACCATTAAAGGATATGTTAATGAAACTGCTGTAGATGGAAACGTTCCTAAGGCTAAATAGTTTTGATTATGACATCTAATACATAAAGTGTTGAGGAGGAGGAGGAAGAAAAAAGTACTTTTAGATTGTGTTTGAAATAGAGCAATCAGCAACTTAATATAGACTGTTATATAGTTAGGAAGCTATCCGTGAACCTTTGGAAATCACAAACCTACAGGCTATAATAAATACACAAAAAAAATGAAAAAAGAGGAATCTAATCACAACACTAAAGAAAACCATTAAATAACAAGAGACGAGTATAAGAGAGGAAGAAAACAACAAAAGGAGCTATAAAAACAAACAGAAAACAATTAATAAAATGGCAATGAGTACATATCAATTAATAGTTACCTTAAATTATAATGGACTGAATGTACCAATCAAAAGACACAGAATGGATAAAGGAACAAGACCCTATATGCTGCATACAGGAGACTCAGTTCAGACCCCAAAACATACACAGGTTTAAAGTAAAGGGATGGAAGAAGATATTTCATACAAACAATAGGGAGAATAAAGCAGGAATAGCAGTACTTATATTAGACAAAATAGATTTCAAAACAAAGAAAGTAACAAGAGACAAAGAAGGACATTACATAATGATAAAGGGGTCAGTCCCACTAGAGGATATAACCATTGTAAATATCTATGCACCCAACACTGGTACACTTAAATATGTAAAATAAATACTAAAAAAATTAAAGGGGGAAATAGATTACAATACATTCATTGTAGGAGACTTTAACACACCACTCACATCAATAGCCAGATCAACCAGAAAGAAAATAAATAAAAGTCACACTAAATACATTAGATTGGATGGACTTAGCAGACATCTATAGAATATTCCACCCAAAAGAGCAGGATACACATTTTTCTCAAGTGTACATGGAATGTTCTCCAGAAGAGATCACATACTAGGCCACAAGAAGAGTCTCAATAAATTCAAAATGACTGAAATTGTATCAAGCAGCTTCTCAGACCACAATGGTGTAAGCTAGAAATAAATTACACAAAGAAAACAAAAAAGACCACAAACACATGGAGGCTAAACAACATGGTTCTAAATAATCAAAGGATCAATGAACAAATTAAAACAGAAATAAAGCAATATATGGGAGACAAAACAAAAATACAACAGTCCAATATTTGTTGGACACTGCAAAGGCCATTCTAATAGGGAAGTATATAGCAATACAAGCCCACCTCAAGAAACAAGAACAATTCCACATAAACAGTCTAAACTCACAATTAAAGAAACTAGAAAAAGAAAACAAATAAAGTCCAAAGTTAGTAGAAGGAGAGACATAATAAAGGTCAGAGCAGAAATAAATAATACAAGGAAGAATAAAACAATAGAAAAAAATGAAACAAAGAGATGGTTTTTTGAGACAATAAATAAAATAACACTAAGCCAGAATTATCAAGAAAAAAAAGGGAGTACACAAACAAAATAAGAAACAAAGAAGGAATAGTCACAACAGACATCACAGATATACAAAGATTTATTAGAGAATAGTATGAAAAATTGTATGCCAATAAATTGGACAAATTAGAAGACATGGACAACTTCCTAGAAAAATACAACCTTCCAATACTGACCCAGGAAGAAACAGAAAATCTGAACAGACCAATTATTATCAATGAAATTGAACTGGTAATCAAAAAACTCCCCCCCAAAAAACAAATTCCAAGTCCAGATAGCTTCACAGCTGAATTCTACCAAACATTTAAAGAAGAGCTAACACCCATCCTTAAAGTAGTCCAAAAAGTAGATGAAGGAATACTTCCAAACTCATTCTATGAGGCCATCATCACTCTGATACCAAAACCAGGCAAAGACACTATAAAAGAAGAAAATTATAGACTAATATTCCTAATGAACACAAAGACAACAATCCTCAACAAATTATTAGCAAACTGAATTAAAAAATACATAAAAGGACCATTCATCATGACCAAGTTGGATTTATTTCAGGGATGCAAGGATGGTATATTTGTAAATTAATCAGTATCATACAACGTATTAACAAAAAGGATAAAAATCAGATGATCATCTCAACAGATGTTGAAAAAGCATTTGACAAAATTCATTATCCATTCATGATAAAAACTCTCAACTATAACTGATACAGCCTTTTAAACTCAAAGTATATAATGTCAAAATGCAAACAAAACTGTACAGTTTTAATTTAGTACAGTCCTTTATAAACATTTAATTCATAAAAGTATTCCATAATAAACCACTGCCATCAAATAAGATTTGTTTTCAATGTTTTCTTTACAGTTAATGGACTTTTCTCCAGAACCTATTAGCCAGACAAACCGTTTAGAAATGTTGAAACATCACCAAACAGCCCAGAGCCTTGATATACGAACTCTGGGCAAATAGTCACACAGTATCGTAAACAAATACTCTGAGTTCCGTATCCACAAGATGTCACTTCTCATTTCCATTACTATCATTCAGCTTCTGAAATATGTGCCACTTCTACTTCAACAGTTTGAATAGCTTCTGCAACTTCAGATAGCTTCTGTCCTTGCTGTTGTGCCAATACATAATTAACTACTTGCATAATACTTTGGTCAGAAAGCGTAGATACCGATGGACACTCTTCAGTAGCTGCAACTGCTTCAAGAGCTTCCATAGTTTCTCCTGTTACTACAACAGTCTCAAGTTCTTGCGGACCACTGCTTTCTTGTTCCTGCATATCTGCTGTTAAGATGCTAACAGCATGCTCCACTTGAGTTCCCTGGTTATGAAACTGAAGGGTATCTTTTTCCAGCATAATTTTGCAAGGCACATAATCTCTGTGGAATTTAGTCATATGTTTACGGAGTGTCCGAGCATCTATGTAGGCTTCACTACATACAGGACATACATAAGGCCGTTCGCCAGTATGTGTTCTGACATGGCGTTTTAAAGATCGGGCATCAGCCCAAGCTACTCCACATGTTAAGCACTCGAATGGCTTAACTCCTATTAAAAAAAAAGAGAAAGAAAGATGTGTGTGTGTGGTGATGTGCAAGTATCAAATATATTAAAGCTGATAATAAGCATTTCAATCTTTACTATGATAATCTTTTACGTAAGGTTACCTTAGACTAAACCACATTCTGCACTGTAATAATCTCCCTAAAGATGGTCCCATGGATAAAAGTTACTGAGAAAAAGTTTTAAGTTTCCATGTATAGTCTAATTTAACAGCAATCTTACAATCCTAGGAATAAGGAGACAGAGGCTTCAAGAAGTCCATTTCAGCATAAAAATATTGACATAGGATATTAAGTTCACTAAAAAAGGAATCTATCTGTATATACAACAAGTAAGTACCAGGGTTCAGGATCACTTCTATCACTTGAATAAATTTTCCATGATATGAAATTAATCTCTTAACAAGGAAGAAGTAAAAAGCAAGAGAACTAGTAAAGGAGAATCACTATTGCATTAGCTTTTATTCTATTTAGATCTCTCTAGAATGTTGATAGTTACCTCCATGGTTGTTCATGTGTCTCCTATACTCTCTCAGCTGAGTGAATTTTCTTCCACATTGCTCACACACTCGTTCCAGGTTTTGCTTTGCTCTTCCCTTTTTCCCATGGGTAGCTTTCTTTACATGCCTTCTGAACAATGCTTTTTCATAAAATTCTTTGCCACATATATTACACCTAAAATATGGGGGAAACCTAAATTATTTTCCTCTTAGCACCAGCATCTGTAAGAATTAATCCATGTGTGTATATGTATGTGTGTGTGCGTGTGTATCTCAATTAAGTTCATATCCTCCTCATATTTACCCACCTGTAAGGCTCAGTAACAGAATGAGACTTCACATGGGAATACCAATCTTTCTTCCAACTATAACACTTATCACAAAATTGGCACTGGAAAGGCTTCACACCAAGATGTTTGTTCATGTGCTGGCGAAGATCTCTAGCTTCAAAGAAACTTTTTTCACATCTGCAATAATAAAGTTCAATCACCTAACTGGATCATCTTACTCTTTTTTTTTAAAACAAGTTTCCAAGAGTTTGGTATATTCTTGGGTTTCTAGAACTCCATAAGATGATCCCACTTTAAAAGAACTTGTTAGTGCTTTGATCTTGAAATAAGGCTGCAGGGTTTTAAATTCTTTTAGCTCTCAAGCACCAGAAATATTTCAGAAAGAATCATGCAGAGTTCCCGAAGGTTATTACAGAGGCCCCTTATTTTCTGTCTCTCCACCCTTTTAAGAGACAGGCCCCCCAATATGATCCCCTTTTTCACTCTCCCATTCTGTCCATGCATTGAGAGTAGGCCTCACCCTTGACAATAGGGTGGAGAAGCTGACTCAGGCCAAGTCAATCAAAGCACAGCATTCCTTGGGATTGATTCCAATTGCTTGATTCAAGGATGACTTGACTTAACCAGATCCAATGAGAGCAAATCCCAGGGCTTTTATATAAACTATCAGAAAAGCCGCTTGACAATTTGGGGGTTGAGAGAATGTGAGGCTGAAACCATTGTTATTACCTTGTCCATATGGAGCCTCAGAGACACCAAGTATTAATGAATCTCAATCTACTTTACATTAAACCTTCAGACTCCTAGACTTTTCCTTCCATTCAGGCTAGGTTAGGTTTGCTTTTCTTTCACTTGCAACTAAAAATGCAATGATAATAAACTATCTTTGTTTCCTCCACAAAAGCAAACTGCCCAAAACTGTCAGATTTAATTTCACTGGAACTCTGGAAACAAAAGTGTACAGTGACCAGGAAAACCCTTAATCAAGAAAAAAAATTGTTGAATCTTGGTAAGAGCTTTGTGGTATTTGAACTTATGATGGCCCCATCCCCATCGTCAGCTCAGCAGCAGCCATGAAGACAAGACCCCATTCCTGCTGTGGGTTCCTACAGCCAGGGAGACTGATTCTCAAAGAACAGTGGTTGGTTGTTTTGACCTGTCTGGGAACTCCCTGAAGGATCCCCTCAAGGACTTGCCTTTATTTTACCTAGCTCTCCCAGGGCTGAGGACTGGGGAGAGGAGGAGTTTGTTGATTGTTGAAAACGCTTAAAGGCAAATATATTAGCCACTGCTGCCTGGGGGAAGGGATACTGGTTTGGTACAAACAATAAACAAACCAAAATCTTGGGAAGAAAGGCTGGGGAATAAGATGCCTTGGGGAAAAGGGGCTTTGAAAAACTCCCACATATTCCCAGGAATTGATTAGTCCACACACTTGCCTAGGACTGGGCACAGACTCAGATTAGACCTGAGAAAGACCTGAGCTCATCTCTGGCTGACTCAGTACCAACAGGAGAAGCCAAGACAATTTTACCAGCTGCCTGTTAGTGCTGAAAGCATTCTGGAATTAGACAATGGTGATGCTCGGTACCAAGAGCCACTGAATTTCACTTTGAAATTATAAATTTTAGGTTATGTGAATTTTACCTCAATTATAAAAAAGATTTCAGGAGGCTTTGAAAAATGAAGAGGGAGAAAAGAAAAGGAGTTTGAAGGAAGTAGAGACAGAAAGGGCCCAGCACTTCAGAAGAACTGCCTAAAAAGAAACTGACTAGCACCAGGGAGGGGCCCTTATTCCCTATAATCTGCATTTCCAGGTAGAACACTTGAAGAACCTCTTCTGGGTATTTTAAATGAGTGATTTGTATGGTATGTGATATCTAAATAAAACTTTTTAAAAAATCATAAATAAACAGCAACATCTATGGAAAACAGAAAAACAGACTGATTAAAACCAAGAGTAAACAAGTAATAGTTTAATATTATGTTCAAATATTTTTTTTTCAGTTTTATTGAGGTATACTTGACAAAGTTGTAAGATATTTAAAGTGTACTTTGTGATGATTTGATACATGTATACAATGTGAAAGAACTCCCATCTAATAGACATTACCTTGATACATATTTATGTTAGTAAGTAAACTGATATATATATAAATAAAATATATATGAACACTTAAGTTCTACTCTTAGCAAATTTAATTATATAACATAGTGTTACCAACTATAGTCACTACAAGTATTTTCTTTTGAAAACAAGTTTCAAACAAACCAAACAAGACCTTAAGAAAATTTGTTGATTAGTTCACCTATTAAATACTTACTGAGTACAATGATAGCCTCGAACCTCAGGCTTTGGTTGATGTTTCTTCAGGTGCTTGCTGAGTCCAGAGCCCCTGTGAAAAGACTTTCCACAAACTGAGCAAAGGTACTTGGACTCTCCTATTAAACAACAAAAAATATGTCACAAATCCAGGATCAGGTAAACAGAATGCTTTGTCGTATTTCAGAAGCTACTCTATCAAAGGAGTATGTAAGCTCTAATATTTGGCAGCCACTTTCTAAGAGTATAAAAATCCCTGTTTTTAGCCCAGATCACTAATAGCCAAAATCACTATTTCCTCTCAACTACAGTTGTGGCAAGGCTAGCTACTGCTACCCAAAGAATGTGCATGATAATCTGAATTGTAATAACACGGTTGAACATAAGTTTTAGAGCCATGTCTACCCTTCATCGGCCATTTCCACAAACTGTTTACATATGTGAAAATAAATATATGTGGACTAAATATTCTAATAAAATTACAAGCCACATACTATGTTGAGAGTTACCTCTACCTATTGCTTGACTTCTTAAAAGTATGACCATTTCTTTAGGGGCCTGGATCTAAATTACACATGATTTAATACTCAGTACACATTTTTTTTTTAACAGAGGGAAACAATGAATATTTTTATGCAAATAAGAACTCTAAGTTAGCTTTGAAAATACCTTTTAACTTAACCTTTTTAAATAAAAAAAATGCATACATACCTCCATCAGTATATCAATATAATTTCTAAAATTATAGCATAACCAATATAAAAAATAGTATGTAATATGTAATTATGTTAATGCAAATTACTTGTTACCTGTGTGAATACTCATATGTTCTTGAAGACTCCGTTTGGTAACAAATGACTTAACACATAGTTCACACTGGAATTGCTTTTGTGATTGATGGAGACTTTGGTGTAATTTTAGACCATGCTTGTAGATGAAAGTCTTTCCACAGACCTAAGATAGCACAGGTGTTTTAACCAGTAAAACAGATAACTAAATAGGGGCTGTTTCTGCAGAACAAGGACAGAAAAACTAGTATGCCATTTTAAATAAAAAATTTAAATTGTAAACAAAATGACAAAAGTTGAAACATATCAGCTAATATTAGCTAGCTGACCATCTTCTGATTCAGTTCTTAAATATTGCTATTTTTCTTATATTTATACAATCACTGGAGGATCTAAAAGCAGTACAACAAGATCTGATGATGTCTTTGTGATTTTTGTTAACAGTACACCTTATATTAAAAGATAGTTTAGTGAAGAAAAGATACTCATTTCCTGCTATACCATCTAGAAGAGGGCTTCTCACACTCTCCGATTAAGAACCAGTCTTTTTTCTTTCTCCAATCCATATTTTGCTAAACACAATAAAAATGTCACAACAGTGACAAACTGCCATGATAGTTTCTAAATGCTTACTATCCACTCTGTATTTATTTCCCATGGACCACACATTTTGAGTAATGCCCTTATACCACAAAACCAGAGGCCCAGTTAATACTTAGTTTTTTATGTGAATAAAATGACACTTAGGGGACAGTAGGACAATGAGTGACAGTATAAATAAAACACAGCTGACCATATGCTGATAACTTCTAAAGTTGGATAAAGGGCACATGGGGCTCTATTTTATTCTATTCTCACATAATAAAAAGAGAGGGAGAGAAAAACATTAAAAATCTCATTGGAAAAAAAAATTTCCTGGATTCCAAACTGTTTATTAATAAAAACAGTGGTTCATGCTTAAATGAAAAGCTACAAATGCTACTAATTTTCAGTATTCCAAAGAGCCCAAAGCTGGCTAATCACAGGATTCTTCAACCAAGACTCAGATTTTGGCACTGAAGTGACCTCAGTCCTCAGCTCTAGAGAAGGACACATAGCTTAGGCAGGACTTTTGCTAAAGAGATGTGTTTAAGCCACATGTTCCTTTCCAGTCCAGGTAGGTCCTATTGAAAATTAAAGGATGACTGGATGATGAATTGGTTACTCTCGCCCAGTATATCCTCTGAATCCTGGTTAAGTTTCTCAAACACCCTAAATAGAGTCATTTCAAATTACAACAAATGAAACAGCAAAGTAAAGAACACAACTGGGAATCACCCTTGAACCAGACCACAAACTGGGTGTCAGAAGCCCTGGTGACACTTTACAAGAGTGAGGGTGACTTCGGAATCAACCAGTCTCATTACAAGTTCCAATCTTCTTTTTATAACAAAATAAACATATGGCTTTACCTGGCATGCATGTGGCTTCACACCTGTATGCTTTAACATATGTATTCGAAGAGAATACAATTTAGGTAATGTCCTTCCACATATAGAACATATAAATTCTCGTTTGGTTCTGCCCTTCTCAGTTGATGTTCCTGATGCCTCATTAGACATGGAATTGGAAGAGGATGAAGTGGGTGCATCCTTTCTGGCATGTCGAATAAGGTGTGCTCTCAAGGAGGCACTGTACTGAAATTGTTTCTTACACAGCTAAAAGAAAAAGTAGACAAAATTCTTTCTAAATTTAATTCTGTTACAAATGTTAAGTAAAACCTGACTATTATTTCAGCTTCACATTTCTTTGTTACAATTACATAAATCAATAAACTAATATAATGTGTATACTATATAACATGCTAGGTACCAGATTATAAAGACCAAAGGCGAAGACCCAGTCCCTATTCTGCAGAGGTTTATAATCTAACCACAGAAGAGGGGAAGTCTCAAGATGGCAGAGTCCGAAGGCAAGGCAGAAACCTACACACACACACACACACACAAAAAAAAAAAATACAACTAGACCTGAAAATTAACTGGAGACTACAAAACACACCATCTACACCTGGGGAAGAAAAGAAGATGACACAGGAAAGGGGAAAGCGGCAGAGCCATGACCAAGTAGGACCCCAGCCCACAGGAGTGCGGAAGAGAAACGAAGTGGTGGGGTTATAGGTACACAGAAACACAGCACACCTGACCCTGGAGATCTGCTCTGGGAACACAAGTCCACATTGCATTACGCTCTGGTAATTAGCAGGACTGGACACTACAGACAGCTGGAACACTAGGAAGCTAAGAAACCAGCTGGCTGTGGAAGACAGGCACACTCTGTTGGTCCCACTGAGACCCAACACAGGGGCAGCAGTTTGAAAGACTTGCCAGCAGTGGGAGGGGAACCAGAGAGGGTAGGGTTGGACAGAGCTATATCAGCAGCAGAAAAGGGCAGGTGGATGATACCTCCCCAGTCCAGCTGGTTGAGCACTCTCAGGAGCCCCAGGTGCTCCATACTCCTCAGTGGTGGAAGCGTCTGTGGAACTCAATGCTGCAGCACAACAAGCTGCCTCCACTGCTTTGCACCCAAGAAGCCTGCAGGCCCTTGCACTGCACCACTCACTGCCATTGTGGAGCACCCAGGGCTCAGCAACAGGGTGAAAGCCTGTGAACCCCGCCATAATGCAACTTGCCCTGCCACTTCACTGTCCACCCTGTTACCCAACAGCCCCACCACCACTGCAAGGCAGGCAGGGGGTGGCCCTGCCCATAATGATCCCAGCAGAAACCACTGCTCTGATTATATAGGTCCAGCTGAGGCAAACCACCAGCCTCAGCAGATGGAGATAAAACCACTGTGAGTAGAAAGACAGAAAAGTGACCCTGCCTGTTGCCCATTAACAGCATCTGGGTATCCACTGCAAAGGAGAACCAGGCATGGGAAAGAAGAGCCCTGAGCTTCTAGGCACCCAGGACACCTTCTTCATAAAGCCATTACTCTCATGATCAGGAAGCACAGCAGATCCATGTAATACAAAGGAAGACTATATAGAAAATACAAGAAAGTATAATACAAAATACACAGAAACCCTGACAAAATGAGGAGGCAGAAGAATATGTTCCAAATAAAACTATAGGATAAGATACCAGAAAGAAGGATAAATGAAATGGAGATCACCAATCTTCACAGTAAAAGTCATAAATATGCTCACTGATCTGCAGAAATGAATTAAAGAACTCAGGGAAGACTTAGAGATATAAGAGTTGAAGAATACAGTAACTGAAATGACACACACAATAGAGGGAATAAATAACAGATTGATGCAAGTAGAGAAGACAGTAAATGAGATGGAAATTAGAGAACAGGAAAACAATGAAGTTGAGGAGCAGAGAGAAAAAAGGATCTCTAGGAATGAATGGTAAAGAGAGCTGTGTGACCAATCCAAATGAAACAATATTTGCATAATAAGGGTACCAGAAGGAGAAGAGAGAAACAAAGGGATAGAAAGTCTCCTTGAGGAAATAATAGTTGAAAACTTCCCCAGTCTCAGAAAGGATAAAGACATTCAGGTCATGGAAGCACAAAGAGCCTCTAACAAAAGGAACCCCAGGAAGATAAAACCAAGACATATAATAATTAAAACGGCTAAGATTAAGGATAAGGAGAGAGTACTGAAAGGACTCAGAGAAAGAGAAAAAATTACTTATAAGGGAAATCCCATCAGGCTATCAGCAGACTCCTCAGCAGAAACTTCACAGGCCAGAAGGGAGCAACATAGAATATTTAATGTACTGAGACAGAAGGACCTTCAACCAAGAATCTTCTACCCAAAAATATTATCATTTAAATTTGGAGCAGGGATTTAACAATCTCCAGACAAACAAAGGCTCAAAGAATTTGTAACAAAACCACCATTAAAGGATATGTTAATGAAACTGCTGTAGATGGAAACGTTCCTAAGGCTAAATAGTTTTGATTATGACATCTAATACATAAAGTGTTGAGGAGGAGGAGGAAGAAAAAAGTACTTTTAGATTGTGTTTGAAATAGAGCAATCAGCAACTTAATATAGACTGTTATATAGTTAGGAAGCTATCCGTGAACCTTTGGAAATCACAAACCTACAGGCTATAATAAATACACAAAAAAAATGAAAAAAGAGGAATCTAATCACAACACTAAAGAAAACCATTAAATAACAAGAGACGAGTATAAGAGAGGAAGAAAACAACAAAAGGAGCTATAAAAACAAACAGAAAACAATTAATAAAATGGCAATGAGTACATATCAATTAATAGTTACCTTAAATTATAATGGACTGAATGTACCAATCAAAAGACACAGAATGGATAAAGGAACAAGACCCTATATGCTGCATACAGGAGACTCAGTTCAGACCCCAAAACATACACAGGTTTAAAGTAAAGGGATGGAAGAAGATATTTCATACAAACAATAGGGAGAATAAAGCAGGAATAGCAGTACTTATATTAGACAAAATAGATTTCAAAACAAAGAAAGTAACAAGAGACAAAGAAGGACATTACATAATGATAAAGGGGTCAGTCCCACTAGAGGATATAACCATTGTAAATATCTATGCACCCAACACTGGTACACTTAAATATGTAAAATAAATACTAAAAAAATTAAAGGGGGAAATAGATTACAATACATTCATTGTAGGAGACTTTAACACACCACTCACATCAATAGCCAGATCAACCAGAAAGAAAATAAATAAAAGTCACACTAAACAATACATTAGATTGGATGGACTTAGCAGACATCTATAGAATATTCCACCCGAAAGAGCAGGATACACATTTTTCTCAAGTGTACATGGAATGTTCTCCAGAAGAGATCACATACTAGGCCACAAGAAGAGTCTCAATAAATTCAAAATGACTGAAATTGTATCAAGCAGCTTCTCAGACCACAATGGTGTAAGCTAGAAATAAATTACACAAAGAAAACAAAAAAGACCACAAACACATGGAGGCTAAACAACATGGTTCTAAATAATCAAAGGATCAATGAACAAATTAAAACAGAAATAAAGCAATATATGGGAGACAAAACAAAAATACAACAGTCCAATATTTGTTGGACACTGCAAAGGCCATTCTAATAGGGAAGTATATAGCAATACAAGCCCACCTCAAGAAACAAGAACAATTCCACATAAACAGTCTAAACTCACAATTAAAGAAACTAGAAAAAGAAAACAAATAAAGTCCAAAGTTAGTAGAAGGAGAGACATAATAAAGGTCAGAGCAGAAATAAATAATACAAGGAAGAATAAAACAATAGAAAAAAATGAAACAAAGAGATGGTTTTTTGAGACAATAAATAAAATAACACTAAGCCAGAATTATCAAGAAAAAAAAGGGAGTACACAAACAAAATAAGAAACAAAGAAGGAATAGTCACAACAGACATCACAGATATACAAAGATTTATTAGAGAATAGTATGAAAAATTGTATGCCAATAAATTGGACAAATTAGAAGACATGGACAACTTCCTAGAAAAATACAACCTTCCAATACTGACCCAGGAAGAAACAGAAAATCTGAACAGACCAATTATTATCAATGAAATTGAACTGGTAATCAAAAAACTCCCCCCCAAAAAACAAATTCCAAGTCCAGATAGCTTCACAGCTGAATTCTACCAAACATTTAAAGAAGAGCTAACACCCATCCTTAAAGTAGTCCAAAAAGTAGATGAAGGAATACTTCCAAACTCATTCTATGAGGCCATCATCACTCTGATACCAAAACCAGGCAAAGACACTATAAAAGAAGAAAATTATAGACTAATATTCCTAATGAACACAAAGACAACAATCCTCAACAAATTATTAGCAAACTGAATTAAAAAATACATAAAAGGACCATTCATCATGACCAAGTTGGATTTATTTCAGGGATGCAAGGATGGTATATTTGTAAATTAATCAGTATCATACAACGTATTAACAAAAAGGATAAAAATCAGATGATCATCTCAACAGATGTTGAAAAAGCATTTGACAAAATTCATTATCCATTCATGATAAAAACTCTCAACAAACGGCATTTAGGGTACGTATCTCAACATAATAAAGGCCATATATGACAAACCCTCAGCGAACATCACACTTCATGGTGAAAAGCTGAAAGCTTTTCCTCTAAGATCAGGAACAAGACAAAGATGTTCACTCTCAATGCTTTTATTCAACATAGTACAGAGGTCCTAGTTACGACAACCAGACAACACAAAGAGATAAAAGGCATCTAAATTGGTAAGGAAGTAATTAAACTGTCAGTATTTGCAGATGGCATATTATATAGAGAAAACCCTAAAGACTCAACCAAAAAGCTATAAGCACTAAAAACTGGATTCAGCAAAGTTGCAGGATACAAAATTAATACACAGAAATCTGTTGCATTCCTATATACTAACAATGGACTAGCAGAAAGAGAAATCAGGAAAACAATTCCATTTACAATTACATCAAAAAGAATAAAATTCCTAGAATAAACTTAACCAAGAAAGTGAAAGACCTATATTTTGAAAACTGTAAGAGACTCATGACAGAAATTACAGAAGACACAAATAAGTGAAAATCTATTCCATGCTCACAGATAGGAAGAATTAATATTGTCAAAATAACCATTCTGTTGAAAGCAATTTACAGATTCAATGCAATCCCTAGCAAAATTCCAACAGCATTTTCAATGAATTAGAACAAATAGTTCTAAAATTTATGCAGAACAACAAAAGACCCCAAATAGCCACAGCAATTCTGAGAAAGAAGAACAAAGCTGGGGGGTTACACTGACTTCAAGCTCCACTACAAAGCTACAGTAATCAAAACAATTAAGTCCTGGCACAAGAACAGACCCAGAGATCAATGGAACAGAATAGACAGCCCAGATATAAACCCATGCAATGAGATAGCACATCACACCAGTCAGAATGGCCACTATCTAAAAGACAAAAGTGTTGGCAAGGATGTGGAGAAAAGTGAACCCTCCTACACTGCTGGTAAGAAAATGAATAGGTGCAGCCACTGTGGAAAGCAATATGGAGTTTTCCTCAAAAAACGAAAAATACAAATACCATTCGACTCAGGAATTCCACATCTAGGAATTTACCCAAAGAAAACAAAACAAAAAAAACCTTTATCTGAAAAGATGTATGCACTTCTATGTTTATCATTGCATTACTTACAATAGCCAAGATACAGAAGCAATCTAAGTGTCCATCAATAGATAAACGGATAAAGATGTGGTATGTGTACACAATGAAATATTATTCAACCATAAAAAGAAAAGAAATTCTGCCATTTGTGACAACATAGATGGACCTAAAGGGTATTATGCTCAGTGAAATAAATCAGGTGAAAAAAGATGAATACCATATAATTTCACTTATTTGTGGAAAATAAATACAAAGCAAAACAAAATGAAAACAGCAGCAGACTCATAGACACTGAGAAAGGGCTGGTGGTTACCATGGGGGAGGGGTAAGGGGGATAAAGGGGCACAAAAATTCTCAATCATAATGTAGGCTGGTCATAGGAATAGTAGTTCAGCATGGAAAATATAGCCAATGATTCTGTAATATCTTCCTATGTTGACAGATAGTAACTGTACTAGTGGGGGTGAGGATTTAATAATGTGAGTAACTATTAAACCACTGTGTTGTATACTTGAAACTTAAGTAAGACTATGTATCAATAAAAAAAATCCAACCACAGAAACAGGATTTATATGTAAAAAAGGTAAAATATTTAAGAAGAGGAAATAACCTAGGCAATATGGCATCACTGAGATAGCTAGGTCTGTCTTGAAGGAACGGCATGACACAAAGATAGAAGAATGCGGCCATATAAGTACTAATAGTTTTTAGGCGGAGCAAAAATAGGAGTTGGAAAAAATAGAAAAAAATAAAACTGTGATGTGCTTCGATTTTATTGTTTAATTGTTAGATATTCATGAAAGCTTTCATTCTTTAATACCAGTTATGTATTGCTATCTATAAAGTTATTATTTTTTAAAATAAAACTCATCATAACAATGAAGTAAAATTGAAGGAACAAATCAGCAGCAGACTCACAAACTCCAAGAAGGGATTAGCAGTTACCACTGGGGAGGGGTTCGGGCAGGGTGGGTGGGGAGGGAGGGTGAAGGGGATTGAAGGGAATTATGATTAGTACACATGGTGTGGGGGGATCATGGGGAAAACAGTGTAGCACACAGAAGCAAAGTAGTGACTACACTGACAGACAGTGACTGCAATGGGGCATGGCAGTGGCGGGGGTGGGCTTGATAATATGAGTGAATATTGTAACCATTGTTTTTCATGTGAAATCTTCATAAGAGTGTATATCAATAATACCTTAATAAAAAAAATTGTAATAAATATAAGTAAATAAAACTCATTGCTTGGTCTACCTATGCCACTTTTTTTTAATTCGTTCATGATGATTATCTTTGTAACTCTAAGTAAAATGAATGGGTAATGAACCTCCTTTACCCCTCTGCTCTCTACACATACCCAAATGCCTCCCTTTACCCTGTATTCTCAATATAGCTGTATCTTAATTTTGATTGTATCCATTTCAGTGTACACATTATTTGGATGATATAAAATTACTACAGCTGGGCCACATAGTAGTACACTATTTCTTTTTATTTTGTTTTGTTTATTTCTTTTGTATTTACTGCTAATTTATCACCAAACTTTCCTCAGCTATCTACTGAGAGAAGATTTAAACCACATCACTTTATGGGAGATCTCTGTCGAACAAAGCATAATGTCCTGTTTCAGCCTGGGCTGTTTGTTTCTTACGCTCGGACTCAGCAGAATTGGATCCCATGTTTCTGGTTTACCATGTCTTTGTTCATTTTAGTGGACACCTCTGCCAATAGCTTCCTGAGAAGCTCCTGCCAGTAGCTTGTATTCAGACATGCAAGGTAAAACTTCTGAGACTGTGCATGTCTGAAAATGTTATTTTACCATCACAAATTAGCTTGGCTAGCTATAGATTCTAAGTTAGAAATCATTTCTCTTTATCATTTTAAATACATAGTGCCTTTATCTCCTAAGCTTCTATTGTTGCTGCTGAAAAGCCAAAGCCGTTCTGACCCTTATCCTTTCTATGAAACTGACCATCTTTTTCACAATTGTAATTTATGAGATTTTTCTGTTGGTCCGTTGATTCTGAAATTTCATAATGTATCTTGATATAGATTTGTTTTCATCCACAATTCTGGGCATTCAACATGCCCTTTTAACATTTAAACTTCTATTCTTAACTTCTGAAATTTTTCTTTATTGCATCAATGATTTCTTTCTTTCCATGTTCTCTGTTTGGAATTATCTGGATATAAGGTATCCTATACTGATTCTCTAAATTTCTTTCACTCCCATTTTCTAACTTGTCTTTTTGCTTTTTCTGAGAGATTTAGTAAGTTGTATGTCCTGACTTTTCTGAGATTTTTATATTTATTACTATATATTTTATTCCTCAATAGCACTTCTGTTTTCATTAATGTGCCCTGTAAAAACAAAATACCTGGTTATTGTTTCACTGATGTAACTTTTTCATTTACCACTGATATAAATCATACTTGGTGTTTTTTTCTTTTCTTTTTTTTAAGTTTTCTTCTCTCCACAGAATCCTGAATTCCTCAAAGTTGCCTTTTATCTTGAAATATTTATCATGTGTCTTGATGATGCCTGATGTATATTCATATTTCAGAATAAGATGTTAAAAAAAGAACTGGAATTTCTATGTAAGTCTAGGAGTGGGATGTCAACCACAGGCTTTATTGTCAGCATTATCTTTAGGACTTTTGTTATTGGGCTTTGGATTTCTTGTCTCTAAGAAGTCTTTTTGCTTTTGGGTTTAAGGATGTGGCTGATAACATCTTGGGACTTGAGTAGGGAAAAGAGAACTTGAAAGGATTCGTTACTTAGTATGTAAGCTTTTACTTTTCCCTGTTTGGGACATAGTACATTTACCCACCCTGTAGACAGCACTCCCCAGAGCAGTTATGGTTTTATCTTCTCCAGAAGGTAAAAAATAGATCTTTGGCTGAGGCATAGTGATGGTAATTTAACTGCTTATTAAAAAGACTTTCTAACAACCAAACATACCTCTACTTTCAAGGTAGCTAGTAACACTAATTCCTGAGCCATTTGGTAGTTCTGTAATACAATTTGGATTGAGTCATAGATAGCTTTCCCCACTGAAAGCTTGGGATGAACCCTTTCAGTTCTGCTAAATCAGTTATTCCATTTATCAGAATCCAGAATTTAGTTACTACAGTTTCCTCTCCTGTTTTCTTTGCCTTTTTATGAGCTTGTATTTTTTAAATGATAATTTTACTGCTGTCTTAGTAGGGTATCAGGAAGCGGCAGAGGTACATCACTGAACTTTCTTTTTTGTCAAGAAAATGCCATGCATATAAATCAGAGGGTAACTCTTATAGCAATATAATGGAGACAGAGAGACTACAAATGGTAGGATTTAACAAGGAAGCAGTAAGTTGGATTCTATTTATCATAAAGTTAGAGTAGTCTTCAATTAGTTTACCAGATACTTACCGGGCATTTGTAATCTCTAGCTCTTTCATGTTTCATTGTGTGCATTATAAGGGCATACCGTCTCTGAAAAACCATGCCACATTCCCTACATTTATGAGACGCTGCTTCTTCAGTATTCTCTTTAGCATCTCTTTTTGGCTGTTTCATCTTTTTTCCTCTTTGAACTAATTTCTGGGCCACCTAGTTAAGGAATAGAAAACCCAACCTAAGTGAATATATTCACTTTGATTTTTAGTCATGAGCCATGTTGTAAATATTTCCAATTCACATAATCATATTAATATTGGTATTTAAAACAAGTCATTTCCCTGTACCTACTGCCCTTCCTCCCCAAAGAATTTCCACCATAGGCATAAGTTAATAGAATGCTTTCAACTTAAAGCTAAAACTACAAAGGTCAACTCTTTTTCATTATACCTGTTGAACTGCTGACTTGGGAATGGCTTTCCGCTTCTGCAACTTTTTCTCCATTCCTTTGTGCAGTCGGATATATCCTCCTTCATTAACAGAACGCTGCCGAAGCCTGCTTTTGTAAGTATCATCATCTGGGCCAGAGTCTGTCTTTGCTGTTGGTACAACTAGATTCTCCTGGTCTTTTAAAGACTTGCTAAAGTTCTGCCCATACTCTGGAATGTCTTCAGCACAGATATCCTCGGTTGACGTATCATGTTCCATATCACCGTTTTCTGGAGAGCTAATGATTACATTCTCTTTTGAAAGTTTAGGATGAATATTAGAAACTATGCTATCTTGTCTGCTGCTTAAAGTTTCTAGTTCTGTCTGGTTGTCTTTTGTCACTAAATCAACAGACTCCATTTCTGGATGAGAATCAGTTATACAGCCTCCAGGTGATGCAGCAGCTTCAGTCTCTGAAGAAATCTGGGGCTCAGACCGCTGTTCCAACTCTCCATTCTGCTCAGCTTCTGGCAAGTCTCCATTCACCAGTAAAAAAATTTCACAGTCCCCAAGTTCAGTTGATAAAGTTGTGGTTCCCTCATTGCTAGCCACAGGAGGTGCTGGACCTACATTCTGTCCTGGTAAGTCCTGGGTAGATGCAACTGTTTGTACTTCACCCTTCTTATATACTGTTAACTGCTTCTCTTCCATTAGTTTATGTACACTTTCACAGATTTCTAAAACTTCTGACATGAAAAGATGGCGAGCCAAGATGGCCACATCAGCCATGCTACAAAAATCAAAACTTAGCACAGAAGTATAGGCAAATTCCAGTAAGGGAAGGAAGCTTGCCTTACAAAAACCTATATGAAACAAGAAAGATGGGGACAAAAAGTCAGATTACAACCAAAACACCTTATAAGAACAATTAACATGTGATTATGACAATATATAATAGACTGTAAAGGCAAATATGACCATTTTTCCTACAATAACACACCCTGGAGTTGTTTTGTGTTCTCGTTGTTTATTAAGCCTTGACTAACTCACTTCTATGAGCTCAGTGTCTCAATACCTAAAATAGAAAATAATATCAAACTTACTACCTCAAAGAGTTGTTGTAAGGCAGTCACTTTCAAACTGTACTCCTTAGAACCCCGGGGGTTCCTCAAATTCCCCTCAAGAAACAGCTGCTGGAGAATGGAGGGTAAAAAAAGAGAGGGAGGCAGGTGAGTAGGCAGGGTTCAACCAACCTGTCCCCTAACTTCACTTCAGTAAATATAGTTTTCTCTTTAATAGAAGTCCATACGAAAATTTGAATGTGAACAAAGGGTTCTAATACTAAAAATTTTAAAACAAAGTCTAAGGCATGGGGTCAGCAAAATTTTTCTGTTAACAATCAGATAATAACTACTGAAGGCCATAATGTGTTTGTTGCAACTACTCAACACTGCCACTGTAGCTGGAAAGAGCAGCCATAGATAATACATCAACAAGTGAGTGGCTGGTTCCAATATGGCTTTATTTACAAAAAGGGAGGGAATGAAAAATTGGCTTTTGGCTATAGTTGCCTAACCCTGGTCTAAGGAATGAAATAATTACTATACACATAAGTATTACATTCTTATTTTATATGAGAAAGAAAGATCATTTCCTTCCTAAATTCTCAGTACTTCACTTTCAAAAACCATTTTTAACATTCATATGATTCAAAAATCAGATTACACAATGATAAATCCAACTCCATCTCCATAATCAGTATGATTAAGAATTTACATAGTTTCCTAGGGTCTCTTTATACAGTCAAGTAAATATCCCTATTCCCCTTTTTTATAGTAGGTGTCATATTATACATACTGTTCTGTGTCTTGCTTTTCTCATCTATAATTTATCTTTATTAAAACACAGAAAGCCAAAGTAATCTTTTAAAAATTCATATTCGCTGTGTTTTTCAGTTTTGACTCAAGTTAAATAAAATGTAGTCCTTTTGCAAAAGGAAATGGACAAATATACAGGCAAGTCTTAAACTGTTATATATATTACGGGTCAGAGTGAAAACTGTGGGGATTACATATCAAGATTATCACCATGGCTAATTTGGCCATTCCTAGGAAAGCTGATGATTAAATAGGCTAAAGCCATATTAATCCTGCTATAAATTACAAAGTTAAATAAGCTTGAGTTAAGTAAGAATATTCTTAAAAATACAAAACAAAACATGCCAATGCAATGATGTATTTTGGTCTTTTACCTAGTATCTTTTTAATTTCTAAGTTTGAAGTTACTAAGAAAAATTTCCTATGAAGAATTAACATTTTCCACCATTTTTTCAAAAATACAAGTCTATGTTTACTGTAAAATACTCTCAAACACAAAAGAAAATAAAAACCACTCATAATCCTACTGCCAAGAGATAACAGGCAGGTAATTTTGATATTCTGTTTATACCTCTAGCCACATTACATATACACATATATACACTCTGTAAAATATTTTAATCAAATTGAAATAAGTTTGCAAGAGGAGAAAGCTCTGGAGATATTTAACACAACAATGTGAATACGGCTAACACTATATGAACTGTATACTTACAAATCATTAAGAATGTACATGTTTTTTTACCAAAAATAAAAAAAATTTTTTTTAAAAGGGCAGTGGTTACAAATAGAAAAATTATGACATCCACATCTACCAGTATGGCAGACTGAGGTACCCTGACTGACCCACTTAATTAAAACAAAAGCAAAAACACTTGAAAAAATATTTTAAAATATTACTTAAAAAATACTTAGTGCCACATCACCAGGCAGAAAAGGTAGAGAAATCTCTGAGTAGTCATGACCACAAGCCAGGTTTAATTTGGTAGGTTTTTAAATTGAATATACAGTACTTTGGTAGTCAAAAAACTTCAAGATGCAAATTTAAAGTGGTCCCAGACTGGTAATGCCTTCAGCATCTGAAAAATCAAATGCTTTCTCTGTAGAAAAGACCTTCAACCCAAAACTGAAATATTTCCCACAAAGTTCTAAGAAATATGAAACCACTGTATGTAAATTAAAAAAAAAAAAAAACATGAACAAGGCACCATGAAAAAGAGCTAGCAGAAATATCAGTATGAATCAAACCAGCAAAGATATTAAGTATTGCTATAATAAGGTACAGAAAATAAAGGGTGGCATAATACCAGTAAAGAGCAAAAGGTCATAAAAAGTGGCCTGCTAAAAGAGACATTTGAAATAGAACTGGATTAAAAACAAAATATAGAAATACTTTGTTTAAAGAGACATCCCAAACATAAAGATACAAAAAAAGCTGAAAAATAAAACATGAAAGAAAGATATCCTGGGCAAATAGTAATGAAAATATTGTTTACACGGCTAAAAAATATTTACAACAGTATGTAAAGAGAAAAATAAAAAATACTGTTTACAATAGTATCCAAATAGACTTTAAGGGTGAAAAGCATCACTAAAAATAAAAAGGATCTCTACGTAATGATATAAGGATATTTTACCATAAAGCCAAAATTTTAAACTTTTATCCACCTAATAACATGGCCTCAAGACACATAAAACAAAAACTGAAGAAACTCAATCAGAAATCGACAAATGAATCACACTAGTTAATATTCTAAAACACCTGTGTCCACCAATTGATCAACAGAAAAAAATCAGTAAATAAAAAATTAACAATTATTGCACCACTCAAGCAAAATGAAACTTATAAAAATAAACCACATACAGTGTTAAAAAGCAAGTGTCAACAAATCTTCAGTATTAAAGGGAAATTTATAGCTAGAATTCTTAAACTAGGAAACTAGAAAGGAATTAATGGGCTAAGTATCATACTTAAAAACAAACAAGAGACAGTATCTATACCCAAACAGAATAAAAAAGAATATAATAAAAAGCAGATATTATTTTTAAAAATTAATAAATAATGATTCTTTGAAAGGACCATTAAGAAAAAATAGTCAAAATCTGATAAGAGGCAAAAAGGATTATCAAAGTGTTCTTTAAGAGCAGTGCTTAGTATGCACCACAGACTGATTGATACTGACCGGGCTATTTTACAACTCCATGAAAATTAACTTACAGAAAAATGATAGCAAATGGTGAAAGACTGAGATGCTATTTCTATCAGCATAGGAAGGAACCCCAAAACTTGCGGTTTATTTCCCTGTAGGATGTTAACCAGTTTTTCACCTTTTAGCAAATTCATTTCAACATTCCATTGGCTGAAAATTATATATACAAATCTTTTCTTCAAAATTCTATTAGAGGCAATTTTAACATCTTCCTAGTTTCCTCAATTAATTATATTAAAATCTTGGGACTGTAGGGATAGGGCATAGAGATAAGGAAAGTTTTACTGCAAAAAGCCAGATAAGCAAATGTTTTAGGCTTTGTGGGTCACTGGTTTATGCAGCAACTATTGGATTCTACCCTTGTAAGCTCAAAAGCAGCCACAGACAGTATCTAAATGATGGGTGTGGCTGTCTGCCATTTGAACTTTATTTACAAAAACAGGCAGCAGATTTAACTCTGAAACGGGTTTGCCAACTCCTGCTTTAGTAGGAATGAAAATAAAAGTCAGTAAACCTCTAGTAAGAAAAATTTTAAAATAAGAGAAAAAGGCACAAGTAACTAATACCAAAGAATGAAACATACCTCTATAGTCACTTGAAACATTTAGAAGAAAATATTATTAAAAATGTGCCAATAAACTTGAAAATTTAAATGAAATGAAAAAATTCTGGAAAAACATAGCTTTCTATAAATTACTCAAGATGAAATAGAAAACCTGAATAATTACCTAACCATTAAAACTTGTCAAATTAGTAGTTAAAAATCTTTCCACAGAGTCCACTAAAGGCCCAGTCAATTTTAGCCACCCTTCTACTGAACATTCAATAAATAAGTAATTCTAATCTCATAGTAACTATTTCATAAATAATTCTAATCTCATAGTAACTACTTCAGTGTACACAGAAATTGGAAGGAAGACACATTTTATAACCATTTATACAAAAAGTGATATATATATATCATGACTAAACCGTATTACACAAATGAAAAACTGACTTAACTTTAGAAAAATCAATCAATTTTCCACATTAACAGAATAGGAAGTATAAAAATGGTCTCAGTAAACACAAGAAAAGTATGTGATATGTCAACACTGCTGGAGGAGATCATCAAGATGTGACCACCAGCTGAGTTGGACAGGCAATCAGAAGCTCTCCACCTCTCTTCCCTGTCCTTGGAATATGTGTGCCACTTGCCTTCCCTGTTCCCAGAAGCTCCTCCAGTGATACAGTCTTGATACAGAAATATGGTGTTGAAGCTAACTGGACTGGGTACATGACTGAACACAGATAAGGCCTCCTATGCATGTGACTGAACCCAGGTAAGGCTTCTATATAAACTTTTAAGATTGTGATGGGCAGGTGCAGAGATTTACTCATGCTCTAACCACCCAAGACAAGTTTCTTATGCAAGTTCTTTTGCTTATTGAACCTGCCACTATCAATCTGGAGTCGACTGCCTCTTTCTTTGGTCTCTCCTAACCTCTGCACATAAGGGCCCACTTTAGGTTACACCTGGAAACTTGCCAGCGAGGTTACAAACGAACAAACACCATTTCAGAGGGAATTTCCTTAATGTTAAAGGAGTAGAGAGTTATCTATTTTAAATAATTACCAAATAATATACTTCATGGTAAAAAAGCACCATCTTTAGAAATGGAACTGAGATAACTAAACCCTTTATCACCATATCTGTTCAACTGCCATTTTTTGCAGTCCTGGACAGCATTGTAAAGTAAGATAAAAAAGTTGAAAAGGACTGGAAAGATAGAATTAAAACCATTACTATTAGCAGATAATATATTTGTTTAATGTAGAAAACCTCAAAAAATTTATAGATGAATGTCTGAATGACTTAAGGGATTTTAGCAGTATTACTGTATTTAAAATCAATATATAGCAAAAGTAAACCAGAAATTATATAATTATAAGAAGAAAATTATAATAGCATTAAAAATAAAACATAATATACTTGGAATAATCCAACAAAAGATGTGTGAGACCTTTATGGGTAAATCTCTAAAACCTTATTTATACAATGGAATGTATCAAGGTACATTCTTTTCTTTTTGTGGAAGTTGAAAATATTCCTTTGCAGTTTATATGGAAGAGCAAAGTTCATGAAAAACTACATAGTTATAAAGACCTACCTGCATAATAAAGATGGGAGATTTTCCTTATTATTATAAAGCTAAGGTAATTGAGACCAAGTGATAACAGTATACAAAGAGACAACCAACAGACTAGAACAAATCCTAGAATAAGTATCAAATGTGTGGAAATTTGTTTTGTAAGAGAATTTGCATGGTCAATAGGTGGGAAGATGATGGAGTTTTCACTGAATAGTTGTGAGACAAGTGATGATTAAAACAGGAAAAAATGAGCACCTATCTCACACCAACAAAAATAAATTCTGAAGAGATGAAAAGTTAAACATGAAAGAAAAACTATGAAAATTCAGAAAATATATGAAAATATCTTTATGACTAAATAAGGAAAAAATTTTTAAGTATTAACACCACAAAGGAAAACATGACTGATGACTTCAACAACGTTGAAACCAGGTAATTAAAAAAGAGATATATACTTTATCATTTCTTAAATATGGTACACATAATGTTTAAATCAAATGAAAAGTTTTAATAATGTCTACCTTACTTCCTATTGGCTTACATCATATTTGCTAAATATAAAAAAAAGCATATGAAATGAATAAACAATGAGGTATTTTTTTGGAATATCAGGATGCTGTCATTTTAGGGCAGGCATTTTATTTGCTATAAGCTGCTGAGACACTGGAAAGAGCAACACTCACATGCTTCTTTCTCTCTTTCTGCTTCAGATGCATGAAAGACAGGGAAAAAAAATTCCAAAGCTAACTAATATCAAAAGACTACACCTGCGATGAGTTTTATTATTAAGATGGCCCAGTAAAGGATGCATTTTTCTCCTGCATCATCAAACCCGAAAACAGTGAATATCACTAATCTAGAATGTAATCCAACTCTGTGTTCCATAAAACTTTGCTCACTATTGTTTCCTCAGAGCCTAGGCCAGCTCCTTGCACGGAGTGGACACTCAAGACATATTTTTTAGTAATTAAACATATAGCTACTGCTAAGGAAAAATATTATGTATTTGTATTTGTCTTCCCAGAAGAGGTGAAGTTAAAAAATACAAGGTAGGAAAGATCAGTGGTTAACTATATATACTATATACTTCAATGAAGTCACTTTTTGTTTCAAAAAGGGGAAATGACATTTCACACAGTGATGTCAGTCATTCAAGAGTTACAGCAAGTTACTATTATGAGAAAATGTATAGATAAGGTTACTTATTTTAATTCTCCCTAAATTTCCATTAATTGGCTCCTAAGCCAATAAAAAAGTTCTAGTGAGGCCAAAGAAAAGTCAAAGCATTCATTTACAATAAATGTGATACCAAAGTAACAAGCAAAAAACACCATACCTGGAATTTAGACTATTTGACATTGGCAGTTTGATAACTGAACCTAATGAATTCTAATAATTAATCTTAAAAAATGAAGAATAACAGACCTACAGAAGTGCTCTCTAATTACATGTCCCACACAACATAACATATAAGCAATCAATTTTTAAACAACATACTCACTTAGAGTAATAATACTGATGCAGTTATGGGTTTCTCTCAAACTGTTTCTAACAGTGTAAATCCCAGAAATACTTCTACTGCTACAGTTGTCTCATCAATGACATAGGGACAGGAAATAACAGACTTTTCCATAACTCTTATCTTGGAAATCTTGCTAAAAGGAAGGACACTTTCAGTTCAGCTTAGTTTGCTGCTATAAATAGGCATCTCCTAGCTTAAGTCTTGAGTTTGTAAGACAGAAAGACACACACACACACACACACACACACCTCTCTTTCAGTCATGAACTTATAAACAAAAAGCAAAAATCTTAGAAAATTCTTACCAGAAAGATCCACCACTGCCTCGTGACTGGAAACAGCTCCTTTCTCAATAAAAAGATCTCGAAAATATTCACTATTAGCTGACAGAACAGATTTATGGGCTTTGTACTCTTCTCCTTCAATCAACAAGGTCACATCACAGAACTGGTTGGAGAGCCTCTGTTCGTTCAGCTGTTTTAAGACAGCCTGACAATGTTTGGGAGAAGAACGCTTCACCACTCCTTTGGTATCAACCTATCAAAGTAAGTTTGAGATCAAAGACTTGTTATATCATGTGTGTTTCTATCCCTAAAGAGAATTTAAAACAAGAAACATTATTCCCTTTTAAAGGACACTATTAATATCAATGAATAGCCTGATATTCTTTATTACCTATCTATTTTGAACAAAAACATTGTTCTACTTTTTGCAATGTTCATCCTACCTGATAAGTGAACACCTGTATCTCACTTCTTGCTGCCTCTTCTTACTAGTCAGAAATCTGAAGATGTAAAAAACTAATGCAAGAAAAAAAATGAAGACCTAGGCTGGCTTAATTTTGCATTGCTGTATGACCCAGAGACTGATCCCAGAAATGTAATGTCTATTTGTACCAATATACCATTAAAAAATAAGAGAGGAGGAGTGATTAAAACAAGTTATATTCCAAAGAAAAGAAATAACAGGAATATTTATGATTAATGAAGAAGCAGTTATCAGCATACTTTTCAGTGTATAGAACATCATAGTGCATTACTTTAGACACAGGCCTGCCTAAATCTTTAATGTCAGGGCCAAGAGTCAAGCAGTTTTAATGGTTTAAGAAAAAATTCACAAAGGCTAGTGTAATAGGTATGAAAGTTGAAGCTGAATGGCAAGTTCCACTTACAAATACAAGTTCATGTTTGGAAACTGGCTTCTTTTTTGCAGGCTTGGAGGCTGTAGCTGGAGGTGAAGTGAAGTTGCTCAGGTCATCCTCTGATTCATTACTTTCTTCTCCAGATTCAAGGTCTAGTCCCAATTCTTCTAACATTTCTGAAGTATCTGATATTGGACGGGAGCGATCTAGTTTTTCCTGGCATTTGCTACACTGTTTAATGTAATCTTTGACTTGCTTTAATATACCTGTAAGGAAAATAAAAATTAACAAGTCAAATTTCAGACTGTTCATTTGAAAATTGAAGAATATATTTTATTATAGATTTAGTCTGTACATGCTAATACGTGCAGACATACACATGCCCCATACAGCACAGAGTATCTTTAAAATGTAAAATGTAAGATACATTTTCTTCAAAGATATGAAGTTATATATGATGGTTTATGTCCATGCTGATGTAGACTTTTGAGCTTATTCCTAATTATTCACTTCCTTACCCTGTAAGATGGTTATGTAGTACTGCTGATTTCCCTATGAGCTACAACTCATTTGTGCAATAAGAGCTATATGAAATTGACATTACTCAATTCTTTTTTACCTTCATAAACAAGTAATATAACGTGGTTCAAGCTAATACCTCTCCACTCTACTAACATCAGGTTTGACCATGCAATTTGCTTTGCTTCATAGAATACAAATGGATATGATGCATGCCATGTCTCAAAAACTTTTAAGAGGCACTGTTTCCCGTCAATTCTCTGATCCCTGTCCTCTCTCTCTCGAACAGCATGTTCCAGATGGATGCCATCTTTTGGCCTGAACTGCAGATGAAAAAAGACAGGTGGAGCCAATCTGCTACCTGAACAGGTCTACAACCAAAACTTCTTAATGAGAATGTAAATAAATCTCATTTGTGAAAGCTCTGAGATTTCAAGGTTGTATGAAATCACAGCATACACAATCTAACAAATCTGACTGTACTTAAATCATTCATAAAACCCTATTGTGAATTTCAACTTTCAGCCTTAGGAAGTAGGGAGGAACACTTTATACACATACACACTTATCCTTGTAAGCTAGGACCAATTAATTCCCACTCTGCAGATGAGGAAAACAAAGCCCTAACAGGTAAATAACTTATCCAAAAGTTATGCCTAGTAAATTACATATGAGGGCCTACAGAAGTCACGTGATTTTCAGTATACTATACTTACCCAGGAACATATTTGTGTCCATCACTGTGGCAGAAACTTCTTCCCCCAAAGCCCCCAAGTAAAATGCAAATGAAAAGGCTCATTAATTAGTTGAGATGATACAGAGGTATAAGTAAATTTTTAATAAATCCCTGAAAAGGTTCAAGCTGTCAAATTATACCAAGTTCCTTTCACTTTCAGCCTTCAGATACTATGCAAGCACTTTTTCCCAAATTGTATTGTCTCATAATTACTAAAAAAGTATACACTAATAAATTCAGAAAACAATATTCTCATTTTAAACACACACCCAATGCATATAATTGTATTAGAAGCTCTGAATTTATAGTAAAGAAACGTATTTAACCTAGGAATTTGCCAAATGCATTTGTTCAGAGAACACCTTTTTTTCCCCAGAGTATAACTTTGGAAATAATGGGTTAGGGTTAAATACAACTTTGATAAGAAAGGTATTTAAGTGTGCATAGATTTTAAGAGCAATAGAGGTTATATTCTAGTGTCTGAAATGTTAAAGTCAATAACAAGTTTATACACATATGAAGAATAATGAGCAACTTTTTAAAAACTGATGAAGTCTGAATGGCTATATATTTTACATATAATCAAGAGTAAATGAAAAAGATGTTCATTTTTTTTTAAAAGTGAAGAATGGGTTGGGATGATGAAAAAGTCCTGATGATGAGTAGTAGTGATGGGTTGCACAACAATGTGAATGCACTTAATACCACTGAACTGTAGACTTAAAAATGGTTAAAATAATAAATTTTGTTATGTATATTTGTCTTGCCAATGGGTGTCAGCTCAGGGCAAGTTCGCTATGGATTCAGTGTGACCAAAGAAATTGACAGCAAAACGTTCTTTGGGGTGAAAGGGTTTATTACCCAGGTTGTTCTCCCGGCAGTAGGTCCAGCACTAGTGTCTCTGCCTCCACCCAGAGCACTGGGCCGAGCTCTCTATATAGAGCAATAATAGCTTACTGCCTAAAGGTGTGAAAGCGGTAGCCTAGCAACAGGTCAGTTACATCATCAGGTGATTTAAGTTCAGTGAAGATACTGGCCATAGGAATCCCAACTTCCCCACAATATTATACCACAATAAAAAAAACTGTAAAGGTATATTGCAATGGGAGAAGAAATAATGTGAGAATATATGTAACAAGTATATTTCTAAGTAAAAAACATGGAGAATGAGAAATGCTGGTATGGAAGTTTCCACACTGAAAATAAACAAAGATAAACATTCTATGATTCTGAATAGTTCTGTACATTCTGCATATAGCAGAGGTTCGAGTAAACTATTAACTGGTTGACTTTAAATGGTATTGGAGAAACTACATAGAAAACAATTGAACAAGGATGAAAAACAATTAAAAAATGGTATTATATGTGATAATCAATTATATAAAAAATCACCCTATCATAGTTTATGTCCTCTAACTAAAGTGGTAGGCTTTTGATGTTACCACCTAAATCTAGATTTACAGATTCAGAAATCTGACTGACCTCCTTAGTTCACCTACAGCTGATTAAGCTGAAAGAAACTAAGTTAACCACTCAAAAGACATTAATATGTAAACATAGTTAATGTACTATTTTGAGTGGAAACTTGCAGAATAGCCTATAAAGACTTCACCAAAAAACTATTAGAAAAACTGAATTCAGCAAAGTTGCATGGTATAAAATTAATACACAAAAGTCTGTCACATTCTTATATACTAACAACAAACTAGCAGAAAGAGAAATTAGGAAAACAATTTCATTTACACCTGCATCAAAAAGAATAAAATACCTAGGAATAAACCTAATCAAGGAGGTAAAAGTCCTTTACTCAGAAAACTGTAAGACACTCATGAGAGAAACTAAAGAAGATACCAATAAATGGAAATCTAGCCCATGCTCCTGGATAGGAAGAATTAATATTGTCAAAATGGTTATGTGCCAAAAGCAATCTACAGATTCAATGCAATCCCTATGAAAATGCCAAAAATATTCTTCAATGAACTCAAACAAATTGTTCTAAAATTCATATGGAAACACAAAAGACCCCAAATAGCTAAAGCAATCCTGAGAAAGAAGAACAAAGCTAGGGAGATTATACTCCCTGACTTCAAGCTCTACTACAAAGCTACAGTGATCAAAACAATTTGGTACTGGTACAGGAACAGACCCAGAGATCAATGGAACAGAATAGAGAGCCCAGAAATAAACCCAAGCATATATGGTCAATTAATATACAATAAAAGAGCCATGAATATACAGTGGGGAAAAGACAGCCTCTTCAACAACTGGTGTTGGGAAAACTGGACAACTACATGTAAGAGAATGAAACAGGATTATTGTCTCACTCTATACACAAAAATAAACTCAATATGGATCAAAGACGTGAATGCAAGACATGAAACCATAAAACTCTCTGAAGAAAACATAGGCAAAAATGTCTTGAATGTAAGCATGAGCAGTTTATTCCTGGACACATCTCCTCAGGAAAGGGAAACAAAATAAAAAATGAACAAGCGGGGCTACATCAAACTAAAAAGCTTCTGTACAGGAAAGGACACCATCAGCAGAAAAAAAAGGCATCCACAGTATGTCATCTGATAAAGGGTTAACATTCAAAAATGTGTAAAGAACTCATATGCCTCAACACCCAAAAAGCAAATAACCCGATTAAAAAATGGGCAGAGGATATGAACAGACACTTACCAAAGAAGAAATACAAATGGCCAACAAACACATGAAAAGATGCTCCACATCCCTAATCACCAGGGAAATGCAAATTAAAACTACAATGAGATACCACTTCACACCAGTGACAATAGCCAGTACACAAAAGATTATGAATAACAAAGGCTGGCGAAGATGTGGAGAAAGGGGAACCCTCCTACACTGTTGGTGGGAATGTAAATTGGTGCATCTGCGGAGGAAAGCAATGTAGAGGTTTCTCAAAAAACTAAACACAGAAATACCATTTGACCCAATAATTTCACTTCTAGGAATTTACCCAAAGGAAACATGATCCCTGATTCAAAAAGACATATGCAACCTATGTTATTGCTGCACTATTTGCAATAGTTAAGATATGGAATCAATCTAAGTGTCCATCAATAGATGAATGGATAAAATAGCTGTGGTACATACACACAATGGAACATTATTCAGCCATAAGAAGAAAAGAAATCCTGCCATTTGCAACATGGATGGATCTAGGGGGTACTCTTGCTCGCTCAGTGAAATAAGCCAGGTGGAGAAAAACAAATACCATATGACTTCACTTATTTGTGGAGTATAAAAACAAAGTAAAATAGAAACAACAAAACAGCAGTAGACTCACAGACACTGAGAAGGGACTAGTGGTTACAAGGGGGAGGGTTTGGGGCAGGTGAGCATGAAGGTGAAGGGGATAAAAGGGCACAATAATTCACAATCACAGTAAATTGGTCTCGGGAATGGTAGTAGGGCATGGAGAATATAGTCAATGATTCTGTAACGTCTTAGTACATTGACAGATAGTAACCTCACTACAAAGGGTGAAAATTTAATAATATGGGTAACTGTTGAACCACTATCTTGTATATTTGAAACCAACATAAGATTGTATATCAACAATACTTTAATTTAAAAAAAGAGTGGAAAATAAAAGCAAGGGGTTGAAATTATTCAGTAAAGTCTGATTCCTCTAGCTCTGAGACCATAACCAAGTTCTATCTACACATTTTAGAAGCATTTAATTGTAGATCCCCATGCATCAGCATTTGAAAGAGACAGGGAAGAGAGTAATTTATTTTGAAATTTCAGCATATATTAAAATACAGGATAAAGTCATGGGGCAGAACCTCTCTGTGCCTATGTCATCAACTGTAAAATGGGGATAATAAAGCACCTATCTCATAGGGCCATTATGATAGTTAAATGTTAACATTTATAAAGCACTTTGAACAGCGACACACAGCAACTACTACATAATTGTTAAATAATGCTCACTGGTCAACCTCTCTGGTACCAAAAAATAGTCATGGTAGCAATAACAGTAATATTAATAATAACAAGTGACCTTAGAGAATAGCCCTTTAATAAAACAACGATGAAGTTTTTCATTCTAGAGCAGGATTTCTCAATGTTAGCAATTGTCATTTTGGACATTTGTGTCGGAAGGGAGGGGTTGTACTCTCCTGTGCACTATAAAAAGTTTAGGAGCATCCCTGACCTCTACTCAGCTAGTGTTAATAGTAAGTCCCAACCACCACTAGCATGACAATCCTAATTGTCTGCTTATAGCCAGATGTCCTCTGAGAGGCAAAATCGCTCAGGGCTGAAAAACACTACTCTAGAAATCTGCCAAGTTGAAGAATTATCTCCTGTCAGCTGTTCAAGAACCTCCCAGTCAGTGTTGGATACAATGTTCACCCCTGTTCAGTGGCTCTTATTTCTAACTCCATGCATATCAGTCTTTGAGGTTTCTTTGTTTTGTCTTTTTCTTCAGTTTCCAAGTGGTTAGTTACAACTACATTTATACAGACCCAAATTTTTGGTGGGTTTTCTAAAGATTATATCCTTCTCTTCTAGACTAGACAGTGCAGCATCAACTTATCCCCATAACATAAACAAAAACATTAGTTCTTAGGGTAAGAGCTTCTGCTGACAGCTAATTTAACCTATTACATGGATATTGCTAACTTAATCCCCCCTCCACCCCCCACCCCCCGCCCGCCTAATTTTACTCTATCTACACATTGTGGAAGCATTTAATTCTAGATCCCCATGCATCAGCATTTGAAAGAGACAAGGAAGAGAGTAATTTATTTTGAAATTCCAGCATATATTAAAATACAGGATAAAATCATGGGGCAGGAGAACAGGTGACAACATCTATTAACATGTTACATTCTGAAATAAATTTGCTATATGTAAATTTTAGGCACCCAGCCAGTTTCTCACTGTGTTCAAACAAGGGAATGCGATACAATCTTATCTAACAGAATGTAACTTCTGTTTGCAGCACTCCAGAAAAAGCAACATAGATAATGAATATCACTAAAGTATACCTGGTAACAACTTCTACTGGACTGACTTTGGAATAATTCTTTTCTTCACATTGATCAAACTGTATTAGCTCTCGGATAAACAGCTACAATAGTTTTGAAGTACATACATGAAAAGGGCCCATTTGTGGAGTATGACATATTTAAAAACTGACAGTATAAAATATTTAACAATTATCATTCTACATCATTACTAATACCTGTTATAAGTACCATCTCTGGAGCTAGAATCAATCAACGTGATTCTCCTTAACTCTGAGGTGTACTCTATAATGTGAAAGTTGGTTATAAAAAGAACTTTGAGAATTTTGAAACGAACTATTTACAAAGTACTAATGAAAATTCTTTCCATTCTAGTATTGTATTAAGAGTGAGTATTTTTGCACCAGTAGCAGAGTTTTGATTACTATAGCTTTGTAGAATAGTTTGATATCGGGAAGCATGATACCTCCAAATTTGTCCTCTTTTCTCAAGATCGCTCTGGCTATTTCGAATTTTTTGTGGTTCCATATAAATTTTAGGATTATTTGCTCTAGTTCTGTAAAAAAAGACGCTGGTATTTTTAGTAGTATTGCACTAAAGCCATAGACTGCTTTGAATACTGTGACCACTTTAACAATATTAATTCTTCCTCTCCATGAGCAGCATGGAATAACTTTCCATCATCTTCAATTTCTTTTATCAGTCTCTTATAGTTTTCAAAATAAAGGTGTTTCACCTTGTTGGTTAAATTTATTTTTAGGTATTTTGTTCTTTTGATGCAATTATAAGTGGGACTGTTTTATTTCTGTATATTCATTTTGTATCCTGTGACTTCATGGAATTCAGTAATTAGTTCTAACAGTTTTCTTGGTGGAGTCTCTAAGGCCTTCCATATATAATATGTCATCTACAAACAGTGACCATTTTACTTCTTCCTTACGAATTTGGACACCTTTCATTTTTCTTGTCTCATTGCTATAGATGGGACATCCAATACTATGTTGAATAAAAGTTCACCATCTTATATATATGGGAATGGTTCATGGTCATGGCACCCCAAAAATTAAAATAATAACATCAAAGTTCATTGACAACAAAGACAGAGATAACAAATATAATAATGGAAAAGATTGTGATATTGTGAGAGTTACCAAAATGTGACACAGGGACACAAATTGAGTAAATGCTGTGGAAAAATGGTGCCCATTGATTGCTTCATGCAGGACTGCCACAAACCTTCAATTTGAAGAAACAAAACAAAAACACAGTATCAATGAGGTGCGATAAAATGATGTATGCCTATATCACATGTCCTGTAGCCTTTGGAAATCTCCACTGCATACTTGTGAAAACAATGAGCAAAAAAGGCAAATAACAACCTTAGTATAATTGTGAAAATGCAGATCCTCTAAAAGGATCTCAAGGCCTCCTTTCTCTCCAGGGGTTCAGTACCATACTTATAAAGCAGCTGTTCTGGATGTTGAAAGACTTTGAAATTCTACATAACCACAAATGTATCTCTTTCAGTTTTACATTTAGCTAAGGTAAACATGGCCTCAGATTTTTTGTCTGGGCAGTGAACACACACAAAAAAACAACAACCCCACTAAACTGGATATCATTCACAGATAATCAATTCAGGGAAGGAAAATTCTGAACGCTACACACATCCAGTACCACATAGTAGTGGTTAAGAAGAGTGTGTAATCACAAAGATCAGCTACTTAAACCTTTGACATGTGTAACCTCTTGGTGCTTTAGGTTTCACATCTGTAAATAAAGATACACATGCTTTCACCTCACAAGACTTTATGAAGATTAAGTGAGTGAAAACAAGTGTTCAGAACTATGCTTGCATGGAAAAGCTTAACCAATGATACCTCTAGCTATAATTATCATTGTTAATGTATCATAAAATATTAAATCTGCGATATCTGTTCAAGAAAACAATGTCTGACCAAACCAGTCCTAACGAAATGCAGCGATTATTTGTATTTATCCTTCACAGCTGTGTTTCGTTAGAGAACATTAATTCAGATATTGGTTTAAAATAGAAAATAATTAAGGGAAAGCTTTTAAGAATATAACGCTGGACTGTTATTTAAAACACGGAAGAACTCTTAAAGAACTTTAGAAACTATTCAATTATCTCATTTTTTTACTCACAGATAAGTAACCGACACTCATAAATTAATTTCTCTAGACGCCATACAGAGATCGACAGAATCCTTCCTGAAATAGCTTCTCATATGGGCTGGAAACTTAGATTTCTAAGTGAACGGCGTAAATACTCGTCAACTTTGTGAAGAGTGTGGGCGATAAACAAGCCAAGGGCGCTTGCTTGCTCTATTCCTTTCACCCAAGGATTGTCAAGACGCTTTAGAGATACTTCCTGACTACAACGGTCACAGTAACTGATCTTTTCTGGGTGTCTGTAGCGCCTCACAGTTTCCAAATCGCTTTTCACAGTATCAAAGGGAAGCATATCAAGTTGTCAGAATTAAAGAGTATTTGCTATTCTTCACACTGAATTCTTGCCCTAAAAACAAGGTTCAAGTTGATCGTTTTCAGTTACTACAAATAACTTCTGCTCATAATTGCATTATTCCTCATTCACACCGCAGAAGCACAATAAGACGCAGACAGGCGATTCCAGAGAACCTCAAACCCGCGGGCCGAAACCCTAGCAGTATAGGCTAGAGAAGGTAGCCCGGGCGTTAGGTGGAGCCCCCTAAGCCATCAGCACAAGCAGGATTTTAAAAGCCACCGGCGGCAGCCCAGATCCACCACAACCCTCCGCCCAACAGCTTTCTCCGCAGGCAGGCCGACGCAGCCCGCGCGTCCCGGCCCCTCCCCGCGGCTGGCCCGGCCTCCGGGGAAGCTCACCCTCGCCCCACCCTGGGCCAGGGCCCGCCCCCAGCTTCCCCGACCTTCCTGTGGGAAGTGCGGCGCCTTTCGCGTCCCCCACCCTCTCGGCTCCGCCTGGCAGCTGCTCCGCCGCCGAGGGAAGGTTGGAACGGCAAGGCCGCCTAGGAGAAGGGGTACGGGATGCTCAAACTCGCGGGGCGCACGTAGGCCCGCCTCAGCCAGCGGGCCTTCCTTGGGCACCAGGCCGCCGGCCCGCCCCCTCGCCGCGAGCCAGGTCCTACCTCGCCACCAGTATGTTTTGGACAAGTCGTGCCAGGTTTGATGCCGGGTGTGGTGAGTGCCTCCCGGGCCCAGGTGCGCCGCCTCTATGAGCCCCTGGCGCCGCTCGGGCTGCAGCACCACCTCCAGCTCTGCGAAGGTCTTGCGGTGCCGCTGCCGCCGCTGGTAGTACAGGGTCCCGCCGCGCACCACGTAGCAGGCGGCCGCCTTGCGGATTTTACGCTTGACATTGCCCTCGGTGCCCGGCGCGTACGGCTCGCGTTCATTTGTCAGGTAGCGCAGGATGGCCCGGTAGCTTTCCTCGCTTGACATCGCTGACGGCTGCTCCCTGAGGGCGCCTGTCAGTGGCGGAGGATGAAGACAGTGCACTAACTCCTGGCGGATGCAACAGCAGCGGGGGCACTGCAGGAAGGCACGGCTGGATCTGTGGTGAGTGTTCTCCGACGGCGCGCGAAGGGAGAACGGACGAGTTGGTAATCAGGGGGAACTGCACTTCTCCAGCGCGCGGGATCCACTGGTGACTGACAAAATGGCTGCTGCACCACCGGAAGTGACGTAAATCAAGGGCAATGGGTGTGGGGACTAAGCCCTGATTGGAGCTCACTGGCTTTTGGCTTGATGAAGCCGACCTTGTGACGTCAGTACTGCGGACGGACATTTTGGAAGCGGGTAGGTCATTTCTGGGAGATTCGAATTGCCTTTGAGCAGACATCTTAAGTCCTGGCAGTTGCCCTTTTTTCCGCTTTTCACGGGGCTGTGAGCACGTGTAGTTGATGGTGGGCGGTTGATCTTTTTTCCGACAGACCCCAAGGTATTAAAGCAGTCCCGCTCCGTCTCCGTCGCCCTTCTGATACCAAACAACATAAAAGCCTGAGATTTTGAGGCTCCTGGTGAAATATCAGCCTATAACATGGAAGTGGCGCTCCCAATTAAACGTTTTAAAATCTAAGTTTATGATCGGAGTTACTATAATTTCTAAGCCTAAACTGCTGGCTCCAAACTACCCGTGGAACAGTCAGTATTTTTCTGGAGTGATTGGTTTATATAATGACGAGTTTCTACATGTGAAAGCAATCATGCTGGCACGGAGCGTAAGTAACTAGCATTTTCTTACAGCTTCATTTGCATGTATTTTTTTACATAAGCTTAGAGGAAAATTTATCCATTGTACATCTACCATATATACTGGATGCACAAAAGGCCGCAGCTACTCCAACTGCCGTTTTCCAATGTGCAGTGTGGGTCCTGTTTAAGATTTCTAACTTCGTCTGGAGCAGTGGCCCCCATCACCCCGCCCTAGGTTGAATCTGTAGCGCAAAGAATCTCAGCCTAAGTCACGCCTAGGCAACTGGAGTCGCAACTGGCAGTGCTTTGCTGGGGCTGAAAACTCTTGGGTTCAAGCCCCTCCTTCCCAGTCCCGGTGTCTGCAGTCGCCGGATGAGCTCTCTGCCGACAGCAGATGAGGGCTTTATGCTCAAAAAATGGGATATAACCAGTTTCCGCGGTACTTGGGAGTGGGGGTTACAGGAATTTACAGATGGCCGGGATGCCTAAGCCATCCTTCAAGATTCAGGCTCTAGGTGAACTCCCAAGCTCAGAGCAGTACTACCAGGTCGTACTTAATTGGTCACTCGGTCCACAAAACAGAAGACTATAGCTGTAGGGAGGAGGGATTCGAAGGCAGAGAAACGCCCCTTTCCTCATGGGGTGGGGCACCAAGAATAGATGTCCGACTGAACCCTCCAAAGATGTTAACGTGCAGGGCCAGCACCAGCACTATTCCCCTGTGAAACTGACTCCATGTACGGGTTTTAGTATAAAAACTAAATAGACAAGTAAAATTGTAAGTAAAAAGTGGTGAAAGTGACAAAAGCTAAATGAATCCCTCCACATTGTTTAGTTACTGCCAAAACAATGGGATAAAGCACACAGTACTCCACTACCACTTGGCATTGTTCTCTGAGCCTTTGTGCCAATAATACATGTTCTAATAAAATGTTTCACAGATGGTCTATTTTCTTGAGAAAAGTTCAACTTGTTACATCCTATGAGACCTGGTATTCAAGTGTTTGGTAGCTCCTCTTGGGCTACAGGCTTCACAGGACTCCAGAAGCCAAAATTACCAGTTCCACTTTAAGACATTTAGACCAGTAAAGCAGTGCATTAAGGGGACGTTTTATTGTATCCAAAAACTAGAATCCATACCTCTGCATTCAGGTTGGGTTATCTTAAGAGGCTCTCTTAAGCTTTCCTTGTTCACAGCTAAAAAATGACCTTATTTTCCCTGTAATCTCATCAAGACATGACCAGTTACTTTTCGAACATAATCTTAGTATTTCTAAAAAGCCAGTCAGTATAGATTGCATATTTCCTGTTGATTTACACACCTTTTTAGTTTTCAAGTCCCCTAAAGGGACTTTATTTATCCCCAATGCCTAGAACAGTGCCTGAATTTACTATGCAGTAAAAAGAATCATAAATCCCATCCTTGGAGATAGAATGGAGGTGGGTGGGGTATTAATGTCTGACTTTATCTTCTAATATTCCTGAATAAAAGCATGTTTCTCAAGAGGATGTGGGTTGTTCACAGCATCCTTGTAATTTGGCACAGTGTGGTACACAAGATGACCTACTTTCTGTAGTACAAGCCTATTCTAAATGAATTTTGATTACTATTTTCCTACCACATTTTATATATACATATATCTCTTAAACCATAGGCTATTCAGTTTTGCAGTTTAACTATGACACTGTCAAACTGCCAGCTCAAAATACTTTGGGCATTTTTAAGTATACTGTTAGGTTATGCTCTTCATTTAAGCTTATTTACTGGAAGCAAAAGCAGATTAATAATACAGCTGATAGTTCCAAGCACTTTTAACTCAGGTGTCAGCGAACACTAAGAGGTGAGAGGCAAACCCAATATAAAATAATTGTGTCTATCATGAAAAAGGGTAAATCAACAAGAAAATAATTCATTAAAATGGTTTACTTTCTGCAGATACAAGCTATAGAAAAAAGTGCTGCTTCTTGCAGTCAACCTGGATTATATAATCTGTGCTGTGTCCTAGTACTTATAGCCATGTAACCAAATGTTAAAACAATGCAATCTGTGTAATGTACCTTTACACTTCAGCTGAGCAAACCTAGCGTTCATCCATCTAGATCTCAATTACATAATTGTGCATATCTTCTCTAACTAAGATTATGTTTGCCTTAAGAGGTATTATCCCTGAGAAATAAACTCTTAAAAATACCTGGCTCTTATATTTGTAGTTAAGCTATTACCAGTAGGCCAAATATGCCCATTTTGAGAGTACAAATTCAACCACAATTTAGTTATAGTCAGATCTTTATTTAAAAATCTGATCTGCCAACTTAGCGTTTTCCACCGACTCGGGGTGCGGAAACTTTCACAGGCTTCACAATCTTTTGCTTAGGTGCTGTCTTTGTAGGAGCCTGTAGGAAGAGAACATGTTATGTGGCATTATCACACACAACTTCCTTTTTAAATCACCATCTCTTATGTCCAGATTCTGTATATAGCCTAGATTGCTTTCTTAATTACCTGCTTTTCTAATACTAAGACCCTAATATCCTTAAGAAACCCCTGCCCAAAGTAAAAAAGTCCACCTTTATATGAAATAGACATTATCACACATTAGAAGAGAAGAAATGATACACCACTAAATGCAGTGTGGGATCCTGATTTGTATCCAAAGGACAGAAGAAGGACATTATTTTTATTAGTCATGTAAGACCAATGCTAATTAGTTTCTACTTTTGAAAACTTTACTATGGTTATATTAACATTGAGAAAAACTGGGTAAACTCTGTACTGTTACTGAATACTTTAATGTGTATTTAAAATTACCTCAAAATAAACAAACAAAACGCCACCTTATTTTCCCCTTTCCCAATTTCTATCAATAACAAAACTATTTGGCTATGGAAGGGAGAGCTCTCTGGGGACCTGAATCACTAATACCCAGAAACCAGTTATGAACATCATTTCGATTAGAGCCTTGCACTGAAATACTTAAAAACTAAACACTTTCATTTACCATAATCTGGATTAAGAATCAGTTTTCCTGGTGTTTAAAATAAATACAAGAAAATTCCACAATTACCTTAGCAGCCGCCATTGCTGTCTTTTTAGATGCTTGTTTAGCCTTTTTTGCTTCCTTGGCAGCCCTGTGGGGTTAAAAATAAAGCAAAGTACTTTACTTCCTACAGCTTATTAACAAGGAGCAGGTGTTCTGGGAGAGTTAGCATATCCCTTCCCTATCTGCAATTTGTAGAATAAATCTGAAGGGGTTGTCAGTAAGTGTATTACCAAATCAGCTGCCCAAAGTTAAAACATGCATTAGAAATTGTGCAGTAGCTTTAATTGCACATAGAATGGCAACAAATAGTTTAAGCTATATTATAAACTTCTGTATTATTAAACCTAAATATTCACAATTGACAATCCCTTTATAGATGCAATAAAACACAAAGCATCAGATTAAATTCTTGTGCCACCTATAAATCCAAACATAACCTAAAATACATCCCAATAGCTCAAAACGCTCTTAAGGAAGACTTCCTCACCTGATAGCTTGTTCTCGTTGAGCCTTCCTAACTTCCGGTTTCTGATTCCGTTTGGCCATTATATCAGCAAGAGATGCACCAGTGATGGCCCTCTGGAATTTGACTGCACGGCGGGTTCTTTTCTTTTGAATTTCTTCCTACAAAACAAAAATATGGAGAGCACACTTATGAACCCTGCTTCAAGAATTTGGGGCAGAAAGTCAGTCTTTGGGCAAGGTAAATTAAGTCTTCCAAGATTTGTATTTGTCTTCATCAAAATACTACGAGTAACTTATAAACAGAAACTTCTCAGTTCTCGAGGCTGGAAGTCAGGGTACCAACATGGTCCGATCCTCTTACTGTCACTGTATCATCACACGTCAGACAGGGGTGAGTTCTCCTCTCAGGCCTTTTTTTTTTAAAGAGCACTAACTAACCACATTTGTGAGGACTCTGCTCTTATGACTCTTAATACCTCCCCCAAATCCTACCTGCTAGTATCATCCATCACCTTGGGGATTAGGTTTCAACGTAAGAATTTTGATGGGACACATTCAGACCAAAAAAATAACCAACCAAATAATTCATGCAGTTATTTGAAATTACACTGTGTAAAAATTTACCTATACATAAAATACTGCAATATGCAGCTGTTTTCCAATTATGGATTGGTTAAACCATCTACTACAAATCCTGGCCATGTTTTGTTATTTTAAAAGGACAAAAAGTTAAACTCTAAGGAAGTTAACTGGATTAGTACTTTAAAAGTGATTTTATTAAGGCTGTTTACATTAAATAATTTACTTTTGGAAAAAATTATCAAACCTGAACTTACATATTTTGTTTTTACTCTTAAGTACTTCAAATTCTTGAAGCAGGGTTAAGTACTTAACATAGTCATGTTAGAAAATGATATATGACAAGAAAGCACCAAGTGTTTGGGAATGTCAGGGAATCAAGTACAACTGAAACATCTGGTGCAGATTCTTTATTGGAAACCTATGCCACAGTGCTTATGAGAAAACAACCTTGCAGTACATGTCAAATCCAAGAAAAATTCAAATATGCTTGAAAAACTTTTATTAAAGCAGGGTGATGCAAAACATGAGAACTGTGTACATTTGTGATTAAAGTACTCATTTTAAATTTGTACTGATGAAATCTTATAGAAAATGCAAGTATTTACCTCTTTGTATTTCTATCTTCAATCCATTTTAAGTATTTTTCTTATTGTGGTAAAACATATATAACACTGTTCTAAAGCATTTTTTAAGTGTGTAATTCAGTGGCATTAAGCACATTCACAATCTTGTGCAACCACCATCTCCAGAACTTTTTCCTCACCCCAAACTTAACACCCATTAAATAATAGCTCCCTATTCCCTTCACCAACCTTCTTCACTTTGTGAATTTGCCACTTATTACCTTGTAAAAGTCTAATCTACAGTATATGTCCTCTTGTGTCTGGTTATTTCAATTAACGTTTTTCAGGTTCAGCTACATTGGTTGGCTGCCAGCTTTGTAAGGTTGAATAATATTCCCTTGTGTGTGCGTGTATATGTGTGTGTGTGTGTATATATATATATATATATATGACACATTTTGTTACCCATTCATTCACTCATTCGCTAATGAAGCATTTGCGTTGTTTCCATCTTGTGGCTGTTGCGACTAATAGTGCTGTGAACATCAGTGTAGAAGTCATCTGTGTAAGTCCCTTTTTATTCTTCTGAGTATATACCTGGAAGTCAACTCTGCTAGATATAATTGTTTAACTTTTTGAGAAACACTGCCAAATCATTTTTCCATCTTAACCATGCATCAGTGCACAAGAATTCCAATTTCTCCACATCCTCACCAACACTTGTCATTTCCCCGTTTGGGGGACAATGGCCATTCTGATGGGTATGTCAAATCAACATCTAGATTAGAAGTAAATTTCTCCTTCCTCTGAATTCCCACCATACCTAGTCTTTCACCAAGAAGGTACTCACTCAATATTCACAAGCCTAAGTATTTAAAGCCTCCTGAATACTAATCATACTGCCATTTTATTCAAACCTTTTCTCAAAAATCTTCCTCATCAAGCTAAAAGAGTATGTCAAAAAACACATCCAGTCTCGTTGAGAAACAAATTAGTATGCTGGAAGACTACAACGCTACCTGACAGGGCTAATCCTATGAACATCAGAATCAAAACCATGTTACAGAAACTAAGTTTCGACCCACCAGAGCAACTTAGAACTCTTCCATTCTGCAAGTGTACTTAAGGTAATTTATCTCACTCCGGCAAGGGGAAGCTTTCGAAATTCAACTGGTATTTACCGTGAGTCTAAAATGTCTATACAAGGAGACGCTATATCAGTCATTTTCACTTCACTGTTTGATGCTTTACACTTCAAGAGCACTTTCACATACTGTCTCAATTACAAATTTTCACAGCAGAAACGATGCTCAGTTTAAACTTAAGATACAGCCCCACAATATCAAAGTGCATTTTACTTACTGACTGTCCCTTTTTGTGCTTTCTTCTGTAGAGGACAGTCCAGTTTATCTGCCGAGGATTCCTCTTGGAAAGGAAAGCTGATTCGCATTTTGCATTAAGAAATTGGAAAACCTATCAAGACAAGTTCAAATTACCTACTCAACTATACAAAGCAAAAGACTAACTGGGCTTGAAGTCCTTAGTAAATGAGTATTCTAGAGTTCTATCCCCCAATTTTACGAAACTGAGGCTTAGAGACCAAAAGCTTGTGTCACACAACTGGCAGGAAGGCTTTCGCGGCGTTTGCTTGAGAACAGGCTGATCTAAGCCCATATCGCAAGGGAGTGCCAAATTCTGGGAGGCCTCGAGCCAGCTCCTCTCCCTCCCAGATTCCAAGAGGACCTGGTGCCCATAAAATAGCCAGACACCTTGGTGGTCCAGGCCCCTTACAGCGGGGCATCAAAGTTACATAAAACCCTAATTTCCGCCCTCACACAAAATCAAAGCTCAAGAACGGTTCATTTAGGAGCTTCTGATCCTAACAACTGTACACATGGTCCCCGTAGCAAGCTTTTCAAGGGCCAAGAATTACGGGTAAATGAGCCCGTCGAGACCGAGTAAGACCGGTCTATTCCTGTTAGGAACACGCTGCGTTTAGCCGACGGGGCCTTTCACCTTCCCGTCGGTCCTGGCGTAGCGCCTCCCGTGTCCGGGGTAGATCTTGTACCCGCTGAAACTGCACAGCTCGACCCTAAAACGAAAAGCGAAAGATTAGGAAGGTGTCTACCGCAAGGAGAAGTCAAGGCCCGGGCCCCGGAGAGGCCCCCTGCCCGAAGATGGAAGCAGATTGGGACCCAATGCTCCTACTTACTTCATGGCGGCAGCTGCGGGGAAGAAGGAAAGATGGTGAAGAAAAGGAGAGGATCATGGGAAGAGGCCTTATTGGGCGTGGGGGCGATCTCCTCCCTCAAGTCCTCGCTGTAACCTCGGCGCTCGCTGATGACGTAACCGCCGCGGGCGCGGGATCACTGTTTTCGCAGCGGCCGCCTCCTTGCGACTGATGTATGCGAGGGCGGTGCAATCTCTGGCTGCGAAAGTGAAGCGGTAGTCACAGGCAAGCAGGCGGTTGGTTTCTGAGTTACCCTGTTTCTTCTTCAGTCAAGTGTCCTAGGGCCATCGTCGTGCTGCAGAGAATGTGAACTCTCCTTATAATTTAGAGACCCAAAGACGAACAGCCCGCAGGTAGAACTTAAAAGTTGTATTTTTGCCTTCCGTGTTGGCCCATTTCCTCAACCAACAAAGTTAAATTTTAATAGTTCCACCTTTTGCAAATAATAATGACTGACATCTGAACTGTCTCCCAGGTCGTACAAATGGAACTGTGCATGTTGGCGCCTTGCGTTAATTCTAACCAACATTCTTTGAGTGCTCTTTCTGTGGCAGTAATTATGCTGAAGTGTTTTAGCATTAATTCATACCCGTTTACAAAATCCCTGTTGAGTAAGAGCCTGGCATTGCAAAATGACAGTTGCCTTTTGAAGAAAACCTAGGTTTCGAAGCTGATGCGAGATTGGAACTCGGGCTGGTAGTTGCCCAGAGGTCAAAACCTATGCCCTCCAGCTTGGTAAAAGTGAGTTCTGGCCTGGCTCACCAGGAGAGCCAATGCCTCAGTCCCTCCAACCCTTTTGTGATGCTGGATACTTCAGTTTATGATGGGGCGTGGCAAGAGTCAATCCTTGAATTGTACGGGACTCTGGAGTACTTCACTAGGAAACATGTAATGATTGATTTGTGTCATCTACAAGCAGCTCACCATAAAAAGGTCTTGTAAGCTGGTAGTTGAAGAGATTTGGAAAGTCCAATAAGGTGGCTAACTAATGTTAAAGCTATACAATATGCTGTTCCCACTCTCAAGGATGAGTTACCAAAGATTTGCTTGGAAATGAAAAGCAAAGAAAAGAGGAGGTATTTATTTGATGGCCTTACCAACTCTGACCAGCTATTGAGATTACTTGGAAGACCTTGTCTAAATAGACCATGGGTAAATGGCTGCCTCAGGCTTCCTTGGTTTGATTAACTTACTCAACTCTGGTATTTATCCAATTCTGTTTTAAAACACTGCTGCTTAAACAAATGTTTGATCATTTAAAAAAATATTTCTAGAATAGTGCTGGCTTCCACAGCTCCAAGGCACAGACAGCTGTATGTGAGTAGAGGATGGAGTCAAAATTTACCTGCGGGAATTTGGTCCACAGAAACCCAGAATTTATAGTCCCTTCTCAAGCATTTTAGAAAGATTTTGTTTTACTGGTCTTCAAAGTTCTATTTGGCCTGACTTGCTCTGTGGAGGAAAAGTAGGAAACTAGGTTTTAGGAATTTAGCTCTTTTATTCCTTCCTAGAGGGCATTCTGGAGCTGCCATTTCCAGGTTCTTAACACACTGCATGTATCACACCTTAAATTATCCTCACTCTTAGAATAAGAAGAAATTGTATAGACACTCTTAAAGGCATTTTATAGACTGTCATAAAGCACAGTTTTCAGTACCATCCATAAATATTGATGACTTTATCCTTACAGTCTCTATTACAGGCAAAATACTCAGCTGCACTCGTTCCTTTTTATTTATTTATGGAGAAATACTGAAAGTGCTCAGTTTCTATATACCTTCTGAGAACAGAGCATTCTTCATGGCTTCTTCATTTCTTATACACACTCACCTGCTGTATTAGTTTCCTGTGGTTTCTGTACTTGGTAGCTTAAAACATCAGATACGTATTCTTACCCAGTCCTGAGGCCAGAAGTCTGAAATTATTATTGCAGGGCTGAAATCAAGGTATCCATGTTCCCTCAGGAGGCTCTGGGGCAGAACATGTTCCTAGCTTTACCAGATTCCTCCTAGATAAACCTTCTTTTGGGGTTTTTGTTTTTATTGTTTTACACTACTATATTTTGGGAATAATTTGTTAACATAACAATAGATAATAAAGGAGGTAAGGAAGTTGTGAAGTTGGTGACTTAGTGAATAGTGGTATCATTTGTCAAAAGACTACAGGTAAGAGGAAGAAGCAAGTTTGTGGGGAAAAGGGTCAGTTTTGGAAAGACTTCTAAAGATGCCCACAGGACATTAAGGTGGAGCTGTGTAGTGGGAAGTTGAGCAAGTTCAGAGCAGTGTTTGGAAAAGGAAATGTTTTAGGAGTAAAGGACCTATAGGTCAAAGTGAAATGATGGGATAACATCAACTATTGTCACAGGCTGGTTTCTTTGGAAGGACTTATTAAGACTGAGTTTAGGATGCAAGATATTTATTAGTGATCAAATCCTGTGAAAGGAAGGAGAACAAAGCATCTTTCTTAGTGTTCAGATGTGGGCTACCCCAGAGAGGCTATGACTTAAGTGAAGTGGTTCTCAGCAGCTGAGCTATACCTCACTGACAGCTGGAGGATTCTTCTGACCCACAATTGATGCCCATTGTTGAGTAGCAAGCCCTTACTTGAGGAAATCTGGATAGTGCATCTCTGTGTCTACTACCTCCTCCCACCCCCCTACCCCTGAGAAAGTGACTCAGCAAAAAAGAAAATACAAATATGTAAGAGAGAGGGGAGTTGATTAAAGGGGGCTGAGCAGATGAGGTCAAAGGAGAGATCCATGACTGTGAAAATGAGAAAAGGCAATCTCATTTTAAATGGGAAGCCCTGAAGGGGAAGCTCTCACACAGGTACCACTTGTGTGGTTATCCTCTGTCACTATACCAAGATAGTACAATATTATTGGCTATGTCCCCCATGTTATGTTTCCATTCATGTGACTAATTTATAAATTGATATTTGTACCTCTTTATCCCTTAGTTCATCAATTAGTTGTCAATTAGTTCATCCATTCCCCACATCCCTCCTTAATGGTAACCAACAGTCTGTTGTCTGTGTTTTAGATTCCACATATAAGTGAAGTCATATATACAGGTATTTCTTTCTTTGCCTGGCTTATTTACTTACTTATTTACTTACTATCCTCTAGGTCCATCCATGTTGTGGCAGGTGGCAAGATTTCATTATTTTAATGGCTGAGCAATATTCCATTGTATATATGTACCACATCTTTGTCCATTGATCTATCAGTGGACACTTGAGCTGCTTCCATAGCTTGGCTATTGTAAATAATAATGCAATAAACATAGGATAAACATAGGGGTGCATATATCTTTTCGAATTAGTGATTTTGTTTTTTAGGGGTAAATTCCTAGACGTGAACTTGCCAGAAATACGGAAATGTGGTATTTCTATTTTTAATTTTTTGAGAAATCTCCGTATTGCTTTCCATAGTGACTGCACCAGTTTACATTCCCACCAACAGTGTAGGAGGGTTCCCTTTTCTCCACGTCCTCACCAATACCTGTTATTTCTTTACTTTTGGATAATGACCATTCTGACCGGTGTGACGTGATACCTCACTGTGGTTTTGTGTTGTGGTTTTGTTTTGATGACTAGTGAGGTTGAGCATCTCTTCATTGTTGGCCATCTGTATGTCTTCTTTGGAAAAATATTCAGTTCCTCTGCCCATTTTTTAACTGGAATGTTTTATTTTTTTGGTGTTGAGTTGTATGAGTCCTTCATATATATTGGACATTAGCCCCTTATTGGATATATCATTTACAAATACATTATCCTTACTGTAGGTTTCCTTTTTCTTTTTTAAATTGATGGTTTCCTTTGCTGTGGAAAAGATTTTTAGTTTGATATATGTAAGGCTGGAGGCACGGGAGGGAGGGGTGAGCACTTCGGACGACCTCAGCCCTAAAGAGATCAACAGATTCTGGCCTGATGACGTGCCAAAATCCCCGGCTGCTGCCCCCTCCCAACCTGGAAAAGGTGTCTTAGGCTAGCCAATCCTCGTGCTGCTGTAAACCTATGCTCTTCCTCCCCCTAACTTCTTTAAAATCTCGCTGCCTGCCCTGCTGGGCATGACTTCTCCGGCCTGTGACTAACCAGACCGGCAAACATCACCTGGGATTGCGCCCTATTAAACTTTTGGCTCCTTTGTAGCCTCCTCACCTGGTTATTTCGGCTCGATTTTTACCTTACAATATAGTCCTACTTATATTTTATTTTGTCTCCTTTGCCTAGCAAGACATCCATTAAAAAAAAATTACTAATGCTGATGTTCAGTAGTTTACTGCCTATTTTTCTTCTGGAGTTTTATGGTTTCAGGTCTTATATTTAGCTATTTAAACCATTTTAAGTCTATTTGCTTATATGGTGTAAGGTGATCCAGTTTCATTTTTTACATGTAGCTGTCCACTTTAACCAATGCAATTTATCTATTGAGACTGTCTTTTCCCCATTGCATATTCTTGCCACCTTTGTCATAGAATAATTGACTGTGTAAGCATGGGTTTATTTCTGGGCTTTCTGTTCTGTTCTATTAATCTATGTATCTGTTTTTGTACCAGTAGCATACTGTTTTGATTGCTATACATTTATAGTATAATTTGAAATCAGGGAGCATGATATCTCCAACTTTGTTCTTCTTTCTGAAGATTGCTTTGGCTCTTCAGGGTCTTTTGTGGTTCTAAATTTTAGGATTATTTGCTCTAGCTGTAAAAAATTTCATTGATATTTTAAGAGGGATTGCATTTAATATGTAGATTGCTTTGGGCAGTATGGCCATTTTAACAATATTAATTCTTCCTATCAGTGGGCAAGGAATAATTTTCCATTTGTGTCTTCAATTTCTTTTATCAATGTCTTACACTTTTCAGAGTACAGATCTTTCACTTCCATGGTTAGATTTATTCCTAGGTATTTTATTCTTTTTGATGCAACTATAAATGGCATTGATTTCATAATTTCTCTTTCTGCTCATTATTTGTATGTCAAAGTGCAACAGATTTCTGTATGTTGATTTGTATCCTGCTACTTTACTGAATTCAGTTATAATAGTTTTTTGATGGATTCTTTACGGTTTTCTATATATAGTATCATATCATCTTCAACTGTCAAAATAGTAACTGTTTTACTTCTTGCTTACCAATTTGGATGCCTTTTCTTTCTTTTTCTTGTCTCATTGTTATGGCTAGGACATCCAGTGCTATGTATAGAAATGGTGAGAATGGGAATCCTTGTCTTGTTCCTGATCTTAGAGAAAAGTTTTCAACTTTTACCATTGAGTGTGATTTAGCTGTGGGTTTGTCATATATAGCTTTTATTATGTTTATATATATTCCCTCTATACCCACTTTGCTGA